AGGTTTGTAGATGAAAGGTGCCTGGCATATCATCCTGGTCAGGATTAAATCATTATGGAAGAAAGAAAAATTGACTCCACTTTCTGGAAAAGGTCACCAATAGCCAGGTTCTTGCCCTCCATCCACAGAGACCTTGGCCCTACTGGGCTGGAGGGTGTCTTAGTGGCCAGCACCCTGCTCCTGGCCTGCTGCCTCAGAAGGACCCTGAATCTCGCAGGCACGTCTCCATGTGACCCCCTGAGAGCCTCCCTGGCAGGCCAGCCCCTGCCCTTGACCTTTGTGCCTGTTGCTTGGAACATATTAAATTCCTGCCCCCTTGGATATAGACCTTGAACTCTCGTTAGCTCCAGGGGGAATTGGTGTGCTTGCAACTGCAGTTGTGTTTGGCTGAGCCTGGAGCTTTGAAATCCTCTTGGGCGAGGGGAACTGTGGACAGCCCTGCGGCAGCCCCACCCTTCACTCCCCTCCCGCAGGATACTGGTCTCTTTCCCTTTGTTCCTTGGTGGGCTCAGGCAAGGTTTCCTTGTTGGCTGTACACAGCTTGCAAGTCTATTAATTTCTGAAGATCTCCCTCCCTCTCTTTCCCGGAAGTTCTGGAGAGGTTGTTTCTGCTCCTTCCGCCCTGTGTTGTGTCATTTGAGCAGGGGTGAGTCCTCTGAGAAGGTGCCGATGGCAGAGGCCCCTTTCTGGGGCATTGCTTTCTTGAGCGGATGCTGGCGTGTGGTGCTTGGAGCACTGACTTGGATTCCAGAGACCAGTGTCCAGCCCGCTTCCCCTGGCTTGGCCCTTCCCGTGGTATGGATGAGGCACTAGAACCCTGAGAGGTGGAAAATGGCCTGCCTAGAGCCCTTTCCTGCTTGTCTGTTTCCTCAAGGTCTCGCTTGTTTGCTTGGCTCAAGCTAATGCCCAGGGAAAGTGGCAGGGAAGCAGAGATGCGCTGTTGAGTGGAAAACATAGACCACCTCCCGTGACACACCTTGGATTGGGGAGGTGGGTGGTGGGGTTGGGTGGGGGACGTCCAACCCCATGGGACTTGCACCATCAACTGCTCTGGCCTTGCTGGGGCAATCGGCGGTGGGACTTGAAATTCCCTGAATCTGTGGCAGGCAAGTTTTTAAGCTGCTGATTTTATGTTTGTGATGGATGATGCTATCGAAGTCCAGATGGTTCTTGGCAGACACACGGCTGCTCATCCCGGCCATGGAACATTCCAGCATGCAGCGTGTCCCTAGAGTGGTTCCTTACACATGGATCCCTGGACCCCCTACCTTGCAGTTTAGGTTCTGCAGGTCTGGGGTGCGGTGGGGCCTGGGAATCAGGGACCACACTTTGGGAATAGGGGATCTTTGTCAGAGATCTCTGCCCCTGGAGGGGAACTTGGGGCTAATGGGGTGGTGGCTGGGCTCCAGCTTCTGGCTTTTTCTGGAAGGCAGAACCACTTATCTGGTGCTGTCTGGGAAGGTTGTGGGAGTCTTTTTTGTCATCTTACTGGTTTTTCTTTGGGGGGGTGGTGTTACTAATAAGTGGAGTGACAGATTGGTGTGGTTGACCTTTGAACTCACTATGGGGTTTCCTCTTCCAAAATCCAGTGCTGCTCTTTCAGAATGCTAGAAAAATCCAGGTACTCCAGTTGGCTAGCAATGTTAAGGTGGCATGCTGTTAGGCCTTCTTATCTAATTTTCCATGGCAACCTGGCAGGCCCCTGGTCAGCTGGCCTAGGTAACTCCTTGGCTAATGGCCACTATTGTGTAACCCTGTCTGAGAGGAGCCAGCCCGAGTGGGCAGCTGCTGCTGTGTGCTAACTGCACTGAGAAGTCATCTTAAGTTGTGTGTCTAAGGAGCCAGGACAAACTGACAGAGATTGAGGTTATCCTCGCCGCCCCAACCCCCGCAAATGCTTTGGACAAGCACCTGTGCTTTGCCATTTGAGCTGGATTATTGGGGATTGTCAGAGTTCCCCCAACCCCCGCCTCCTCCTTTTATCCAGACATTTTGCCCACGCACCACACTTCCCTCGGCTTCCTGCCAGGAACTGGCTTACACCTGCCACTTTTTCCTGTGAAATGCAACTTGGTAGCTACTTCATTTTCAGCTTCATTTGGTTAGTGTCCAGGTGCAGGGTAAAGCCGGGACAGGAGGGAAAGTGGTGAAAGGTCTTGCTCTTCAACAGCCTCGAGGCTTCTGCCCCCAAGGCAGCTACCCTCCCCTGTGTAGCACCCGTCCCTCCTTCAGTGCTGTCCTGGAAAATTCTAGGTTGATGTAAGAGTTAGTGCATTTGTATCTTTTCCAGGAGGCTTATGTTGATTCGCAAGTAGCATTAGATGTGTGTTGCTTTTTTTTTTTCCCCCTTAAGATGAATTTATTTTTTTATTGGAAAATCAGATATACAGAGAGCAGGAGAGACAGGAAGATCTTGTGTCTGCTGTTTCACTCCCCAAGCGGCCGTAATGGCTGGAGCTGAGGCAATCTGAAGCCAGAAGCTTTTTCCCAAGGCTTTGGGCCGTCCTCGACTGCTTTCCCAGGCCTCAAGCGGGGAGCTGGATGGGAGGCAGGGCTGCCAGAATTGGAACCAGCATGTGTATGGGACTCCGGCATGTGCAAAGCTAGGACTTGAGCCACTAGGCTATCGTAGTGCTGGGCCCTTTTAAGATTTATCTACCTTCATTGGAGAGGCAGATACACAGAGAAAAGGAGAGACAGAGCGAAAAATCTTCAATCTGCTGATTCACTTCCCAAGTGGCTGCAATGGCTGGAGCTGAGCTGATCTGAAGCCAGGAGCCAGGAGCCAGGAGCCAGGAGCCAGGAGCCAGGAGCCAGGAGCTTGTTCTGGGTTTCCCACATGGGTTCAGAGTCCCAAGGCTTTGGGTTGTGCTCAACTGCTTTCCCAGGCTACAAGCAGGGAGCTGAATGGAAGGTAGAGCAGTTGCAATAGGAATTGGGGCCCATATGGGATCCTGGCACGTGCAAGGTGAGGACACTCAGTCACTAGGCTACCGCTCTGGGCCTGTGTGTTTTTTCAACTTGAAGCAGGAGCTGTTTGTGTTGGGTCTTCCACAGTGTTTGTGGCAGCTGAGTGTCCCGTTGCATGGTTGTGAACCTCTGCTGGGTCAGCCCCGGATGTCTGGACATTCTGGTCTTCCTACTGTTTTTGAGGGGTCCACAGTGCTGAGTGGAAATTTCTTGCACCTGCTTCATGGAGTGTGTTTCTAAGGAGAACATTTTTGGAGGTCAGAGGTCACATGAGTGGGGTGAGGACCCTTGTGAGCGTGAAAAGGGGCCTTCTTCAGGGGAATCCTGCCAGCCGTCCCCAGGCTCCCCGCTTTAAGAGGCCTTGCTCACTAACTAGCCATCCTGTCCTTTGGGCCAATGCTATGGGCTCTCTAAGCCTCCAATTTGGTGTGTGTGAAGTGATCCCGTGGGATGCATTTATTCCCAAGGTGCCTGTGCTTGGAATTTGATTCCCTCTCAGGGTGGGATCGCCACACAGTACCCCAGGCACGTGCTCAGGGTTTTCCTGAAGCCTGCTGCCTAGGGAGACGAGAGAGCTCCCTGCCGGGGACTGGGTCTTGGGCCTTCGTTCATCGTTTTTTGCTTGATGGATATGTGGAGGATCTGTTAGACTTCCCCATCAAAGCAAACTGCGCGGAGGCCTTGTACGTGGCCCTGGGGACTCTATGGATTTGCCGTTAGCAGAGGGAGAGCTGGCGAAGCCCACACAGCCTGCGTGCCGAGGCCTGCCTGGGGAGGAGGGACGTATTGGAGGAGAGTCATTTTCTGGATTCCACATCCCATCCTGGGCCCTTGATGTAGCTGTCGGCGTATCTGCCTGCTCTCAGGATGTCAGACGCACCGTGCTGTGTCATCCTTGGACGCTGAGCTGCAGGCCCCCCTCCACTCATGGAGCCGATTGGTGTCCTTGCAGGTGAAGGTTGGGGCATGGGGCTGGTTGGGGGTCCTGTGGTCAAATGCCACCACTGTGGGGTGGGATGGTGTTCAGAGGAAGTAGCTGGGAGAATGTAACTTGCATTGTTTTTTTTTTGAGAGTCTCAAGCAGGTGGTGGGCCGTGGGAACTTTGGGGAAGGTGGGATGTGCTCTCGGTGACTGTGTAAACCTGATTGACCTGACAGCGTGAATCCGTGCCCTTCTCTCCCAGAAGGAAGTGTGTGCACTTTGGTGTCCTTGCAGTCTGTCCATGGCCAGCCTTGTGTGACTTCCTGCTTTTGCTGTCAGCCGTGGATGTAGAGCAGAAATAGTGTGCAAGGATAAGAAGGCTCCAGTGCCTGGGTGACGATGCTGGGCAGCTTGGTCATGGCTTTTTCAATGGGGTGCCCGAGAGAAAAGGGTAGCGACTGTGGCAAAATGGAGGATGTAGCTCTGATAGTGTTGGCTGTTTGCCATGAGGGCCTGTAGGTCTTCCTTTTTTTTTTGGTTAAAAAAAGATTTACTTTTTATTGGTAAGGCATATTTACTGAGAGGAGAGACAAAGATCTTCCATCCTCTGATTCATATCCCAAATGACTACAATGACAGGAGCTGAGCTGATTTGAAGCCAGGAGCCAGGAGCTTGTTCTGGGTCTCCACGCAGGTGCAGGGTCCCAAGGCTTTGGGCCATCCTCTGCTGCTTTCTCAGGCCGCAAGCAGGGAGCTGGATGGGGGAAGTGGAGCAGCTGGAATATGAACTGATGCTCATGGGATCCGGGTGGATGCAAGGCAAGGTTTTTAGCTACTTTATTTTTAAAAGAAGCCAAAAACCCAAGTTATATGAAATCGTCCAGTTTTTACAGTGGCACTGTGTTGAGATTTTACAAAAGTGCTGCCGAGGCTCAGGAATGGCTCTCAGACCCGAGGTTAACAGTGAAGAAGAGGGAGGCAAGAGCCGGAGCTGGGATGTCGGGATGGCACGGGGAAATGGTTTGAGGATACTGGGTGCTCGGCAGTTTGTGCTGAGGGCCCGAGGCTGTCCCAACGGCTTTACATTGTGTGGTACTGTCTCTTTCAGATCCTGGTTCTGCAGAAAGAATAGCCCAGAAGAGAAAGTTCCCCAGCCCTCCTCATTCCTCCAATGGCCATTCGCCACAGGACACATCCACAAGCCCCATTAAAAAGAAAAAGAAACCTGGCTTACTGAATAATAACAATAAGGAACAGGTAAGAGAGCCCCTGGAGCAGTGGCTGTACCCGTGGAAAGGGTGGGGAGAGGGGGATGGTGGGACCGAAGGACAGGGGGCAGAAGCCTGGCTCTTGGAGCTGGTGTGCTTGGGGTTTGTTTAGCAAGCTGCATGTACTGATTGTCGTTTACGTAGGACAGAGAGGGCAATTCCCAATGGCCTGTGGCAGTATTCCCAGTGGGTTTTTAGATGTGTTATGGGAATAGAACTGTATCCAGATAAAGGATTTGGGGTTTTTCTTTGGAAAAAAGTTCCCCCGTTATAATGACTATTTTTTCCCGTGTGGTCTGGGGAGGTCCCCCCTCCCCCGCCCCTGGGCTACATCTGTGGTACCAATGCCCAGTCAGCCTGGTGGTGGCTCGCCTAAAGGGGGCGCCCTTGCCCGTATCAGTTTTCTCATCTGTACCCTGGGGGCGGAGGCTGTGTGGAGAGGCTGTCCTCTGTGGACTGTGTTAGCTGGTCTCTGTTCTTGCTGGTTGGCACGTGAGTCTAGTCTGCACCTCACCCCTTGTGGACCTCGAGCCTGCTTGGCTCGAGGTGGAGACTGCTCGGGACCATGTGGGGCTTGTCGGCGCTGTGGCTTTCATGTTCCCTGATGCAGGCTGGCTCTCATGGTTAGGAGAGGGGCATGGGGACCGCGTCTTCGTGGACTTTGCAAGCCAACGTGAGTCTGTTGAGTTGCTGCTGGGATCCTGGTCGTGTCTGTATGTGGATTCTGTATGTAGACTCTGTTGTATAGGATGGTCCTGGGGTGGGGTGTGGGGGCAAATAGGGCTCTGCTTTGGCAGCGAGAGGGCTGGCGGTGTGGAAATGCACAGGCTTGGGAGACGTGTGCCTCAATGCATGGATCTATTTTCAAGCTGAAAATTACAGACAGAAAGGCCAGCTCAGTTTTTCTCCCAGGCAGTTTAACTCCTTTGTGCCTGGTCTTTTTCAGCTTCAAAAAGGAAGGTGACACTGCTCATTCTGTAGGGTTGTTTTGGATTCTTTTTTTTTTTAAGATTTATTTTGATTACAAAGTCAGTTATATATAGAGAGAGGAGGAGAGAAGGAGAGGAAGATCTCCCGTCTGAAGATTCATTCCCCCAAGTGACCACAACGGCCGGTGCTGCGCCTATCCAAAGCCAGGAACCAGGAGCTCTTCTGAGTCTCCCACACAGGTGCAGGGTCCCAAGGCTTTGGGCCGTCCTCGACTGTTTTCCCAGGCCACAAGCAGGGATCTGGATGGGAAACGGGACTGCAGGGATTAGAACCGGTGCCCCATGGGATCCCGGTGCGTGAGAAGGGGAGCAGTCAGGCCTGGAAGTAATGCTCTGACAACAGGATGCTAGTGTTGCAAGTAGTGGCTTAGGAGGCTGTGCCACCACACAGGCTTCTGGTGAGAAGATTAATGAAGCTAAGTGCCATAAACAGTAATAGTTGGATTGAAAGATTCAGCCAGGCTGTCTGCTGAGTGGAAGCATCGTGTACTGTGTGACATAAAACACAGCCATGAAGACATCATATGTTGTGTTGTCCCATATGGTTGCCACAGGCCAGGTGTGGCTTATAAGCATTTGGGAGTGGCAAAGCGTGTCCAGGGAATCAAGTGTGTCATTCATTGCATTCATTTTGAGTTACAGAAAGAAAGAGATCTTCCATCTGCTGGTTCACTCCCCCAGTGGTCACAGCAGCCACACCTGGACTGACCCAGAGCCAGGAGCCAGGAGCTTCTTCTGTGTCTCCCATGCTAGTACAGGGTCCCAAAGCTTTAGGCCATCCTGTGGCGTTCTTTCCCGGATGCATTAGCAGGAAACTGGATGGGAAGTGGAGCACTGGGACTCAAAACCCGCGCCTGTATGGGATGCTGGTGCTAGAGCTTGAGCTTAGCTTGCCTGCCTGGGTTGAAACCAGGGATCTCTCACTGGCCTGTACCCTGCCTCCCTACAGCAATGTCAGACCTGCCAGGGTTGAAGGTGCAGAACCGTGAAGGCCTTAAGCCATCCGCTTCCTGTCCCTAGGAACCAGCACTGCTGAGAACAGGGGCTTCCCCCACCTGCTCTGTGTGCGTGCGTGCGTGCGTGCGTGCGTGCGTGATCTCTGTCCCAGCCCCTGCCTGGCACTGTAGAGTTGGCTGCTGTCCCTGTTTCTGGAAGCCGATTTTGGCGGGACAGGCTGCTCCTTGCCCAGCTGACGTCAACGCCTGGTGACCGCAGGCTATGCCCTCTCCACCAGCAGCTGTGGAAATGTGAGCGTTACAGCGCGCCTGTCATTGTGGGGTTTGACAAGGGTGCAGGCACGCAGGGGCAGGGGCCCCGGGGCACAGGGCACACACGTGCTCCTGGATATCCAGTCTTCAGTAGTGACAGGGAGGGGCGGGGCACCTGTCCCACTCAGTCACCTGGCTCTTGCTGGCCCTCAGCTGCGTCATTCTGTCAGTGGCTTTCCCATCCTTGATCTTCAGTTACTTCGCAGATGGGGACTTGGGACCGAAACTCTTTCTTTAGAGGATCTCTAGTCTGGGCATCTAGAAGACGGTCATCAGCAAAGGCGGAGTAGCTTGAACTACAGAGATGTCATTCTTGCCCTTTGACCCCACCATCCCTTCTAGCTCACACTGCGGCTCCCCTAGGCTGCTCCATGCTGCTCCATCTGGGTTCCTGGGGGGTGGGCCAAACAACGTGCTGGGGATATCTTCCTGCAACCTCCTTTTCCCTCTCTCCCTTACCCCGAAATTGTGACATTAAAAACAGCAGATTATAGCTGGGCAGTGTTGTGATGCATCAGTTTCATGTGAGGAATTTAAACTTGTGTTTGCGTGTTCTTAGCCACACTCAGCATCTCTGTTTGGTAACGGTCGCATCTCAGCAGTGGAAACGCGTCTCACGGTGTGGGCGTCTGGGATCATGGTGTCTGCCTGCTTGGGCCCACTCCTAATGTGCAGTGGCCCACTTCTTGTGAGGTGTGAGGGGTCCAGCCTGCAGACCCTGTTACATCTCGAAGGTCCACCTCCTGACCTTGTCACCTTGGAGTCAGCATCTCAGTGTCGTCTTTGGGAGGGACACCAGTATGCAGACCAGGGTATTCAGCTGAGCAGAGCTGCCCTGAGAGGCCCGCCCTCTGGTTTTCTATACTCCCCACCCATCCCTGTAAGTGTCACTCTCAGGCTGCCGGCTGTGCTCCCCACACCTGCCTCGAGTCACCTGTGGTGGTGTTGTCTGCCTCTTCCGTTTTGATCTTCCCTCTTGTCGTATAAAAAACAAAAGATGTTGCATATTTCCGTGTTTAATTGAGACCATTGAGTTTTCCTATGGAGATGAGGGGGTCAGTTTTCCATTTGGACCTTCTCTTACCCCTTCTGTATTTCTTGGGAAGTCCATATTAGGGGAGTTTATGAAGAAGCTTTTTAAAAAGCAGCTTATTTATTTGAAAGGCGGTGTGGCGGAGACAGCTATTTCTGGGATGGTGGGGGCTGCCAAGGCCAGTCTGGCTGCCTCCGTGTCCGTGACCTGCTCTTGCCTGTCCAGCGCGAGGCCCCTGGCCCGTGTGAGGAACCCGCACTTTCATCACATGTAAGACAAGGAGAGCTGGTGTCAGACCTGATGGATTCCCCTGTTTCCCACATGGCCTGTGTCCAGTCCGAGGTCTGCTGTGTGCTCAGCCAGAGCACCTGCTCTCTAGTTGTGTTCTGGATATGCTGGGAGCCTGGTTTTTTTTTTTTAAAGGTTTATTTTATTATTATTTTTTATTGGAAAGTCAGAAAGACAGGGAGGAAGATCTTCCATCTGCTGATTCACTCCTCAAGTGGCTACAATGGCTGGAGCTGAGCCAATCTGAAGCCAGGAGCCTCTTCTGGGTTTCCCATGCAGGTTCAGGGTTCCAGGGCTTTGAGCTGTCCTCTACTGCTTTCCCAGGCCACAAGCAGGGAGCTGGATGGGAAGTGGGGCTTCCAGGATTAGAACTGATGTCCATATGGGACCTCGGCATGTGCAAGGCAAGGACTTTAGCCACTAGGCTACTGCACCAAAACCTGTTTTTTTTTCTTTTAAATAAATAAAGTTTTATTGGCATACAGCCCATGCATTCATGTCTGCATTGTCTATTTTTATTATGATGATTATTTTCTGTTCCTTCTGACCTCTCTGTCTTTCTAGATAAAGGTTGCTGCCTCCTTGTGTGGCATCAGGGATTCAGGAGTGAATGAACAGGCCTTTCTCATTTTCTTGTGAAGCTACCCTGTGCAGGGAGCTGGTCAATGAATACATGTTTGTTTTCATAATCTGCAGTTAGCCATTCAAATCACCAGCTGTGACCTGTTGGTGTCACTGTTGGGCCAGGAGCTGTGTGTGTGTGTGTCACGAGAACTGCTTACAGCCAGGAAGCTGATGGAGATGAACCAGGAAGTACTGCTGCAGGTGGAGGGGCGCCCCCCCAGGAGTCTGCAGAAGTTGGGTGCATTTCCCCAAGCACACTGCAGAGCCTCGGGAGCAGGCCTTGGCCTGAGCTGCCGCCTGGGCAGGCCTGCATGGACCAGCTGCCCTCAGCCGACCTTGCTGGGCCACCTGTCACCAGGTGGAGAGCCCCTCCCCTCTGCTGCTCCTGTCCTGTATGGGAGTGACCTTCTGTTGTTTCCCTCTAGCACTGTGTACTGGACCGAGCTAATTTTTGAATGGCAGTGTTCTCTGGGGGTGGGAGCAGTTGCCAAATCCTGTGTCTTTTCTGGCCTCAGGTGCAGAAGACAGAGGGTGTCGGGGGTGGGGGGAGACTTTGCTGTGAGCTTGGAGGGTCAGTAAGTCCCCTTCCTGGAGCTGTCCCTCCCGCAGGAAAGCTTAGCCCTGTCTTCTGAGCACCTCTCTGGGTGGGGGTCAGGGTGCAAGTGAGACAGGCTGTCGCTGGAACGTGGAGCGAATGTCACAACAGGGATGGTTACCCTGGAAACCCAGTCGGCTGCTCTGTTTGAAAAGTTAAACTGAGACGAGGAGGGAGCAGGCTGGAGACTTCTGTACTCACCCGTCCGACTTGGCCGACCTGGCTGTTTCCTTAGTAGGAATGAGAGCAGGGAGGTGTGGAGAGGCTGGTTGTCAAGGGTGCTGTAGGTAAGCACCCTTCTGCATCCAGGAGGGTGGAAATCTGGAGAATGTTCTAGACAGCAAAGTTAGAATGGAGTGGTTGTGTGGTGTAGCAGTCAGAACTGCCACCTGTGACGCCAGCATTTCCTATGGGTGCTGCTTGTTTCCAATCTGGCTGCCTGCTAATGCACCTGGGAGAGCAGGGGAAGATGGCCCAAGTGCTTGGGTTCCTGCACCCACATGGGAGGCCTGGAAGACACTCCAGATTTCTGGCTCTGGTGTGGTCCAGGCCTGGCCGTTGCAGCCACTTGGGAAGTGAACGAGTGAATAGAAGATTCTTTCTCTGTCTCTCCTTTTTGTAACTCTCCTTAATACATTTTTTTTAAATCTTAAAAAGTCCCGAGGGACCAGTATTGTGTCATAGTGGGCAAAGCTACCATCTGCAATGTCAGGATCCTGTATGGGCAGCAGTTTGTGTCCCAACGTCTCGACTTCCGATCCAGTTCCCTGCTGATGCACCTGTCAGAGTAGCGGAGGATGGTCTGAACGCTTCTCCCTCTGGTTCCTGGATTTGGCCTGGCTCCGGCCTGGCTGTTGTGACCATCTTAGGAGTAAACCACAGGCAAGAAGATCTTTTTCTTTCTGCAGCTCTACGTTACTGGAGCCTGTAAAATAACAAAGGGCAGGCATTGTGGCACAGCAGGTAGAGCCACTGTTTGGCATGTCCACATCCCAAATCAGGTGTGGGCTTGGGTCCAGCTGCTCTGTGTCTGATCTGGCTTCCTGCTAATGTGTCTGTGAAGGCCATGGATGATGACTCCTGGTACTTGGGGCTTTGTCACCCATCTGAGCGACCTGACCGGAGTCCCTGGTACGTTCCGTCAGCCTGGCCCATCCCTCGGCTGTTGAGGCATTTGGAGAGCAAATCAGGAGAGGAGAATCTCATCTCTTTCTTTGCAGTGCAGTTGATGTTAATAATAAGGCCTCATATGTTAGGCTAGTATTAAAAAAATGAACAGCCCTTCTAGGGACCGGCAATAATCATTTAGAAAACACAATAGAAAATACTTTGTCATCTGTAATATCTGGCAGGATTCCGCGCTCTCTCACCGGTGTGTGAAGTCTTGATGGATGAAGCCGTAAGGTTTTCATGGAGGCCAGCAGAGAAGCCGGGGAGGCAGTGAGGTTTCCTTGGAGCTTGGGAAGAGCAAGTCAGAGCTGTATTGCATCACTATAGGACCACGGAGTTAAGTGGCTTCTTTATAGCCACACACTGGCTCCTAAGCTTGCTATCAGGTCCCACCTGTCTCCCTGTCTCTTGAAGAGGACCATCTACTGATTTGCAGGTCAGCGTTATGTAGAGAGACAGAGATCTTCCATCTGCTGCTTCACTCCCCGGTGGCCATAGGGCCTGCGGCTGGACCAGGCTGGCATCCAGAAGCCTCATCTGGGTCTCCCATGTGGGGATCGGGGACCTTGGCACTTGGGCCAGCTGCCAGCGCTTTTTTCCCTAGCCATCCGCAGAGAGCTGGATGGGAAGTGGAGCACCTGGGGCTTGAACCGGCCTTATACCACAATGTTGACTCTTCTTCTTTCTTTTTAAAAGATTTATTTTAGATGAAGGACAGAGTGACGGGGAGAAAGAGAGAGAGAGGTCTTCTATATGCTGTTTGACTCTCTTAGTGGCCTGGGCTGTCAGCTTGTGTAGGGCGCGGAGGGCAGAGAGGAAGCCAGGAGCCCAGAAGTCCGTCTGGGTCCCTGGGGCCTGGTCCATGGATTGTGTTCTGCTGGCTTCGTAGGTGCATTTGCAGGGAGCTGGGTTGGAATCAGGGTAACAGGGATGTGAGCCAGTGCTCTGTTATGGGATTCTGTGTGGCAGCTCAACCTGCTCAACCAGAACGCCAGGGCTCATTTGGTTTCTGCTAGATGTTTTCCTGTGGAGTTAGAATCTTGCGCGTGGTCTTGCGTTTTTACAGTTGCCTTTGCTGTGTTCTGTAATGCTTCCTTAGGGAAATATTTCCCCTAACATGTTGGATTAACAAGACATCCGACTGCCACGAATGCTTGACCCATTCCTTCTTAGTGCCCATTGCTACCTCTAAGAGACTTGGCTCCCTGGCACATGGAAAGATTGAAATGTTCAGAAATCAAGGCTTTAGTGACAAGTGCATTATGCTTTCGGTAGACCTGAGGAAAGTTGACTATTTGTGGCGACTCATATCCAGTGATTTGCTGTTGAGCCTTCCAGGGCCACGTGCTATACTTGTGTTGGCTTTGCAATTTTGGATTTGCACCTGTTCGTTTTTGACCATGCTTGCAGCATTAGTCGTGGGTTTCTCGTGTGGATACACGTGTGATGTTGTTCCTTTTCGTCTCAGTGCAGGTCCGTGATGTGGTATTTTTTGGGGGGGATCTCCATTTTACAGATGAGAAAACTGATATTGAGGGTTAAGAGACATGGCCAAGGTAGAGTTCAAATTTGAACCCAAGGGTTCCCCCAGGGTTGTAGCCACTGGGTTAGCCTGGGATGGCTTAGCGGCTCAGATTCCAGCTTTCCGTCCCTGGCCCCCCCAGCATCGACGGAAGGAAGCATCCTTGTGTGAGTTAGCAAGCTGTGAATATCATAGCTAGTCCAGTGACCCCAAGTTAGCGTGAAAAGAGTTTGTGAAATGTTGTGATTTTTTTGTTTGTTGATGTTCAAATGCCTGTTGAGAATGCACATTTGTTTTGAAACCGAACCTGTCTTTCTTGCCTACATTTCAGTCAGAACTAAGACATGGTCCGTTTTACTATATGAAGCAGCCACTCACCACAGACCCTGTTGATGTTGTACCGCAGGACGGACGAAATGATTTCTACTGCTGGGTTTGTCACCGGGAAGGCCAAGTCCTTTGCTGTGAGCTCTGTCCCCGGGTTTATCACGCTAAGTGTCTGAGACTGACAGCGGAACCAGAGGGGGACTGGTTTTGTCCTGAATGTGAGGTTAGTGCTTGATGAATGAATGCATTACCTGCCTCATGTCCTCTTCTTTCTCTTTTTTTTTCCTTTGAGTTTTCATTTTTCGAATAATCCAGATACAGGGAAAAGAGACGTTTTTTTGCCTCCCACCTGCTCTGTCCGGGTCACCTCCTGTTTGGACAGTCGTCTGCGGAGGCTTCTACTCCTGTGGCTGCCAGAGGACTCCCCCGTGGTGCCCAGGTTGGAGTGTCATTCTGCGTGGGTCTTTGGATCGGTTTGAGGCCTGCAGCCACCTCTGGGTCTCCTGTTGCGGACACCTTGCAAGATCATGCCCAGATCAGCAGCTGCTCACACGGTTTGGAAGTTCCCGTGCTGCTTTTTCTCTTCCTGGATGCTGTTTGCTTCTGAGTCATTGGATCATGCGTGGAAGCCAAGCTGGGAAGATCCATTGTGGTTGTGAGTTCCACGTGAAGGTCACCTGACAGCGACCTGGAAGCGTCTTTGTCAGAGACCGTGTTTCTCCCAGTGCCTGCTGGGTGCTGGGAATTCCACAGTGCACGAAACCGGGCTTAGATCGCCTTGCATATAACGGATTTGGGAAAAAAAAATGCTCTGGAAACCAGGAATTGAGGATGGGAACAGGAAGTTGGTGCACGTAGGTCATTTCCAATGGAGATGTCCCGGAAGTCCTCCTGGAGGCTTGTCCTTAGGTTGAGAGCCTGGCCGCTGCTGGGGAGACACTGCAGGTGTGGAGCTGGCGCCAGCAGCGCCTTGGGCATTGTGAGCGCTCCCGTCTGCTCACTTACAGCCAAGCCTGACCACTGCATTGCACCAGTGACCAGCGCCCCCCCGCGTCCAGGTGCCTTCTAGCCTGATGACTGCCAGCCATTGGGAGTTTCTAAGTTGCCACCAACAGGAAGTGTCACAAGAGTATTTCATGGGAAATGTCTTCCTGGATTTCAAAGCACACTGCACATTGTCTCTGAGATGAGGAAACTGGATGTGAAGTGGAAAAGATCACACCTTGTCACCAGTGGGGTGGATCGGTGTCTGGGACGCTGCTTTTGCCCCGGGACCAAGAGATGGCGACGATGCCCATTCACTAGGATGGTGGCACTGAGAGGTCATCTTGTCTGTCAACTGCCAAAAGGTGGCACTGGCTCTCTTGGGTCACTCTCTACAGAGACATTGAAGGACGTGCCTGGCCCAGCAGTGCCTTGGTCTGGGTTCAGAGCTTGTCCTTATTCTGCTATTGATTGTCAGTTCACAATGGTTGAATGGTATTACTGCAGAGACCATGGCTCCATGTGCCGGAAGAACCCAGGGCCAGGGCCAGGCTGTGTCTTGTTCAGGACCTAGCTCTTTCTGCCTTATTATGGGGATGAGTCCCTTGTGGCTAAGAAGGGTGCGGGCATCTGAGCCCAAGGCTCCCTCCTCACGTGTCATACCATCAGGCTGGAAGATTTCTTCCTTGCTTCTTCCTTATTTATTTATTTGAAAGATTAAGTTACAGAAAGAGAGAAAGAGAGAAGGGGAGACATATCTTCCATCTTCTGGTTCACTCCCCATGTGGCCCCAGTGTCAGGAGCCAGGAGCTTCTGGGTGTTCCCACATGTATATGGGGAGCCATGTAGTTGACCAGTCCTGCAGTGCTGTCCCAGGCACCTGAGCAGGGAGCTGGATCTTTTAAGTGGAGTAGTTGGGACTCAAACCAGCCCCCTTATGGGATTGTGGAGTCACAGGTGGTTGCCTGCTGCCATCTTCTTGTTCCTGTTGTTTTGCCCTTGGGTTTAGTGGTCAACCTTTGATCTCTAGCTCCCATGCCAAAAAGGCTTCAGACACACTCACCTGGCACTTGAAGTGTTGTGGGAACCCCAGGCAGTGCCAGCCAGGAAGAGTGTGGTGAGAGGGAGAGGGGGCTGTTGGGATTGGCAGTCCCAGGTGTTTGCCCTGGATAGTCTGCTGGACAGACTGCCCTTCAAGCTGGTGGGCGTGGAGTGTCTGTAGCTTGGAGCCCCACATAGCTTCAAAGGGGGGCAGGCAATGGGCATGACACAACATTTGAGTCCTGCTAGCTCAGGCGTTGGCTCCAGGTGTCTCGCTTTGGAGCGCCTCTGTTGATCTTGTCCTTAGTCACCAACCACACACATCTGCGAGCCCCTTTTGGAAGCACCAGAAATGGATGGAAAGAGCCAGAATCCAGATGGATTGCAGCTGACATCGCTAGCTTCCCCCGCCCAGATGACTGGGCGCATTTGCTGCCCTCGCTGGAGCCGAATGGCTTTGCGATTGCTGTGTTTGTACATCTCCTGAGGCCCTGGGCTGCGGAGTCATGCACGCTCAGCACACGCTGGCTTCCATCATCCTGTCCGTTTGTTCTCTCATGGGAATTTTCCTTCGGAAATTCATGGTCTGTGAGATGGACATACTTGCCTTTATAAGAAATAATTATTGTATTTGTTTAAAAGGGAGAGTTGCAGAGAAAGAAGGAGAGGCAGATCTCTATCTACTAGTTCCCCCCAAAGGCCACAATCCCTGGGGTTTGGTCACACTGAAGGCAGGAGACGAGAACTCCGTCCATGTCAGCCACATGGCTGGCAGGAGCCCAAAAACTTTGGCTGTTTTTTTTTTTTTTTTTCTTCCTATTTTCTCAGTTGCATTTTCTGGCTTGGCAAGTGGAGCAGCTGGGATTCCAACCAGTGCTCGTAGATGCTGGTGGCATCCCTGGCAGTGGCTTAACCTGCCATGTCACAGCTCTGGCCTTAATTGATTAACCTCTTTTGTGGTCTGCCAGACTGTTGTGAGTCAAATTCACTTCAGTGTTGATGGAGAACCAAGGCATATTTAATGCAGGTCCAGCACCATGCCTTGGATTCATTCTACAGGGAAATCGCATCTTCCTCAGTGGCATCACTGCCTTGTCCATTTCCTGAAAGCCCCAGAGCTTTAGAGGGTCACCATTTGCCATCAGTGAGGGGGCTTTCCTTTTGTGTCCCATTCTTCAAGTTCAAGATTCCAACAGGGACGATTTTTCAGGATCGTGTCTTGAACCCACACCTCTGTTGGATCCTGTCACCCTTCGTGACGTAAAGATAACTTCTTCATATGACCATCCTTGAACTGATATGCAATTTAATTTTTACCACCACGTCCATTCTAGCCTAGTAGATTGGAGTCCTCGCCACAAGAAAAAAATAGTCTCATTGGATGGGAATGGCTTTGTAATGGGTGAGTTCATTGGTGCGTACAAACACACACACACACCAGAAGAAGGTGAAAAGGGAAATAACGTGGATAATAGTTTTTGCTAACTGACTACTTGTTTGTGATTTTGACTTGTAGAAAATTACAGTAGCCGAATGCATCGAGACGCAAAGCAAAGCCATGACCATGCTCACCATTGAACAGTTATCCTACCTGCTCAAGTTTGCCATTCAGAAAATGAAACAGCCAGGGGTAAGAAGAAAAGTTCCTCTTGCTAGACACCTGAGTGCACGCGGTGACTGCCTTTTTCTGTCAGCCTTTTAGGTAGGCCAAACCTTTCAGACGCCTGTTTTATATGCCCAAGTTCAGGTACATGGGCAGGTATCTTACTGTGAGCACTTGGTCCCGAAGCTGTTAAACCACAAAGTGATGAACAGTAGAGAGATGGCAGGGATTTAAAACTCTGGTTGTGCAGTGACTCTGGGCAGATTTCACTGGGACAGCTGAGTGAACCCTGGTTACTGGTAATCTGGCTCTGAGAATGAGACACACCCAGGTGAGAATTCTCGTCTGGGGGGCGCTTGGCAGAGCAGGCTCGGCCCAGGAGGAAGTCCACATGGGCAAGCACGTGGCCGCTGTGGACTGGCAGGTGTGTGTGCCTTGCAGTGATGTCCGCCTGTGCTCTGAGTCAGACGTTGGCCCTTGTGGCCTGAGTATTTATCAAGGAAAATACCTTGTGTAAACAAAGTCATGTGATTGCTCCAGATGCCTAAAGACACAAGGGCGGTGGCACCCTTGACTAATTTGCATGAAGACACCTCATAGGCCACAAGGACCCCTTGAAACTAGTTTTTCTTTTCTTCCTCCCTTTCTCTCCCTTTTTCTTTCAAGATTTATTGATTTAGAAGGCAGACTTAAAGAGAAAAGGAGAGACATATGTTCACCTACTAGTTCACTTGTTGAATGGCTGTGGCGGTCGGGCCAGCCTGGCAGAAGCCAGGAGCTAGGATATTTTTCTGGCTCTCCCACATGCATTCAGTGGTCGAAGTATTTGGGTCATCTTCCATTGATTTTCCAGGTACCTTACCAGGTTGCTGCATTGGAACTGGAATAGCTGGGACTCGAATAGCTGTCCATATGCGACACCTGTGCTCGGAGGTGGAGGATTAGCCCGTTGAGCTGGCCCTACCTTTGCTTAGCTGCCTTATTAATAAAACCTCAATGATTGAGAACAAAACTACATAGCCTCAGATTGGTTAGAAAATTCAAAAAAAATCTTTTCTGCTGCAGTCGTTTTTAAAAGGCAGAGTCAGGAAGAGAGACAGTTTATCTGTTGGTTCGCTCTTCGAGTGACTCCAACATGTAGGTTGGAGCCAGGAGCTCCCATGTGGGAGACAAGGGGTGTGTCATCACCCACTGGCTTGCGAGGAAGAAGAGCAGGAACAGAGTACCCAGAGCATTGACTGACACTCCGGTGTGGGTGCCGGCACCCCAGGCAGTGACTTCACCCTCCACTGGCCCCAGCTACAGGGATTTTCATGTTGAATGACAATATGTTATTTAATGTTTTTTGGAGTTTAATTTTCCTTTGCTAACAACTGTGTACAGAGGACTGGATCATGTTGCTTGTCAATGACTGTAGAATCAGAAACTGAGAAGGGAAATCCAAGTTTCTCATGATGGTATTTGATGTGAAATCAGCGAGGGCAGGAGGTTGTTGAAACATCTTTTTGCTCATGGCCTGTCTTTAACCCTGGAGAAGAGTGCTTGGGTGATTGCAAATGTTGAATTCATTATTCTAGATTTTTCTTAATGATCAGTCCGCAACCACCACCCCCCTAACCTGGGCCTTGCATTTTGAGCTAATTCCTGCAGGGCTTAAAAACCCTGACCAAGATGAACAGTGTGTGCTGGCTCTCGTTTTGAAGGTAATGCAGCTTCTCAGAGGAGGCGGAGAAGTGTCATTTCCTAAGCTCTCTCTGCCCATCTATAAAATGCCTGCTGGTACCCATGTGGCTCTGTCTTCTGTGTCATCCTTAACTGTAGCCGCATGTCACCCTTGGGCCGGTTTTAGTTTTGGCATCTGCAGGTGCAGATGAGCCAGATCTCTAAGTATTGATCACGTGTTGTGATTGGCTGTCAGTCCTCATGAGAGAACCGGACCTTGAGTGCATGCTGAAAATAAAACCCAAACCAAGACACAGCTGGCTGCTGAGTGTCCTTGAGGAGCCAGAATCAGAGAGGAGACGGAGCTGGAGCTGCCCACACCATCCTCACGGGAATGTTGAGATCTGTCTTGACTGGAAAGTTGGCATCGTAGTGATGTCCTTTGTGGGTGCCAACATGGGCCTGCAGGGCAGTGCTGGGACCCTTGTGGGTGCCCACATGGACTTGCAGGACAGCGCTGGGTTCGTTGTGGGTGCCCATGTGGGCTTGCACAGCAATGATGGGATTGCCCATGTGTCTGTCTTCTATTCCGCAGACAGATGCATTCCAGAAGCCAGTACCCCTGGAGCAGCATCCCGACTACGCGGAGTACATTTTTCATCCCATGGACCTTTGCACCCTGGAAAAGGTCGGCATCCGTCCGAGCCTGGTGGGGTGGCCTCCCGTGTCTGCTGAGGGGGCTCAGCGGCCCCAGCTCTCTCCCACGCCCTGGCTGCGGCCACCTGTTCCTGTTCCTCCATGGTTTACTTGGATAGAAGAGCGGTCTGTCCCCGACTTCCTCCCTCTGAAGGGTTTTTTTTTTCTGAGGATTGCAGCAGAGTGTGTGAGAATCTGCTGACGATGCCACCACAAATGATCCTATGCTTTTTACCCGAAAGAGTCATAGTTTGCAAAATTAGTGATTTGATTGATTGGAGCCCTGCTGCCTCTTGGCTTTCTGTCGGAGGTGCTAATGAGAGCAGCAGGACGGAAGAGAAGATTAAGTGTCTGGGAAACCTCTAAATTAGCAGTGAAGATATGGCTTTCTGGAACGTGACTTGACTCTTCTGTTAGGGATATTTCTTTAATGCCTGAAGATGATTTTAAAAATTCATGCTAGAATTCCAGGCTGAAAAATCATACCAACTACACTGTAGCTTGTGTGTATCTTGGTGCTGATTTTCAGAGTGTTAGCAGCAAAATCCACGGAGAGGAGATGTTACTTCATAATGTTTGTACTGACCACCTTCACGTAGGGAATAAATCCAACATGGCTTTTTCTCTTTTTTATCCTAAGATTTACTAATTTTTATTGGAAAGGCACATTTACAGATAGAGGAGAGACAGGGCAATCTTCCATCTGCTGATTCTCTCCCGAAATGGCCCACATGGTTGGAGCTGGGCCTGTCTGAAACCAGGAGCTAGGAGTTTCTTCCGGGTCTTCCACATGGGTGCCAGTACCAAAGGACCTGGACAATTTTTCTCTGTTTTTCCCAGACACGTTAGCAGGGAGCTAGATTGGAAGTGGAATGCTGAGACTTGAACTCATGAGCATATGGGATGCTGGTGCAAGAGGCAGAGACTTAACCCACTATGCCACTGCACTGCTCCCTATGTTATGTTAAGCTGCAGTCACCTTCATGGTGTGGGAGAAAGAAGCCAGCACACAAATGCTGGCCTGGCATCTTGGCTTTGAAACTACGCATGGCTTCTTCAAGCATTCATCACACCTTCTGTAAAGAGGGGTTTATGATAAGTATTTCATTGGGCTAATCATGGTTCTTCTGCTAGACCCTGTGTCTAATACAAAACTTTGTGCAAGTATGGGAAAGATCCTGTTCTCCATCAGGAGCTGTGCTTCAGTGTGATGAGTTCAGTGACGTCAGACTCTCAGAAGTCATAGCCTGCGTCTTTGTGATCTAGACAGATGCCTCGTGGGAGACAGGTGTGCCTGGTGGGTTTGTGTGCACTGCCTGCTCTGCCTGCTCGTGACGCTCTGTGGCTTTCCTTCCCAGAATGCTAAGAAAAAAATGTATGGCTGCACGGAAGCCTTCCTGGCAGATGCCAAGTGGATCTTACACAACTGCATCATTTATAATGGGGGTGAGTGTCCTCACTGACTCTGCAGAGTCAGTGTGTGTGTGTGTGTGTGTGTGTGTGTGTGTGTATGTGTTGTTCCATGTTCTCCCGTCCTTTTGGGAAATCAGGCTACTTTCATGTATCAGAGCAAAGACGGAGAATAGTCATGCCTGGATGAGTCATGGGTGTGAACAGGGGGGCCTCTGGGTGCAGTCAGTAACCACCGTGGTCCAAGGCCCAGGCTACTGCGGCATCTTCTGGTTGTTTAAAAGGTCTTGTTTAATGAAACTGCAACTGCATACAATGTAGTATACAGAGATTTTATGTGTGTCTCTGACAGATGTGTAACCCTACCCCTTATCAGATCTGAAACTTTACCAGCTGTCATTTGACATTTAGGCTGAGGGAGGCAGGTGGATGGTGCTGGATCTTGCACCTGCTGGTGTACTCTCCAAATGTCTACAAGAGCAGAAGCCGGAAGTCCAGGACTCCATCTGGGTCTCCCATGTGGGTGGCAGGGGCTCAGGCACTTGGACCATCATTGACTGCTTGTCCAGGAGCTGGAGCAGAGGCAGAGCAGCTGGGACTTGAACCTGCACCCTGAGATATGCCTACATGGCAGGCAGTCACTTAGCGTGCTGCACCAGGAGGCTGACACCATGATTTCTGTTTTCTTCTTTCCAACAAACCCAGTTCCTCAGCAGAGTCACTTTTCTGCTTTCTGCTCGTCTACTTCTTTTCTTTCTTCTGCTTGCCCTTGAATTTCATGATCGCCGGTCACAGAGCTGGCTTTCACGCAGTGTGGTGGCGTGGGGACTCGCCGCCCTTGAAGCCTGCTGACTGGTTTTTCCGCCATGCCCATTGTGTATCCGTCTGCTTGGCAGGTGTGGCTGGGCACTCAGGTGGTTTTAGCTCTGAATGCTGCACGTGGAACTGTGGTGACCATTCATATTCAAATCTTTGTATCATCTCCTGCTTTCATTTCTGTCTGATACAGTCTGGCTATTACTGCTCTGTAAACCTGTTTGTAACGAATTCCTGCAAAGTGGTTGTGTCGTTTCACACTCTGCTCGCGGCTGTGCTGGAGGTCTGGTCCCCACGCCCTCCGCAGCACTGGGCTGTGAGATGCTATGGCATGGTGGTGGTCTGGTCCCCACGCCCTCCGCAGCACTGGGCTGTGAGATGCTATGGCATGGTGATTTGAATCTGCCTTTTCTAGGAGCGAGTACCTTGTTGTTTGTTTGTCCGGTGTGTGATTTCTTGGTGGGAAAAATGTTCTAATCTTTTGCTCATTTCAAACATTGAATTGTGTGTTAAGTAGTCAGCTGAAGTTTTGTTTTTTTTTAACCTGTTCTGGATCATGTTCTCTGTGTTTTGTTGAATTCGGTGGATTTAACCTTTTGGCCTGATTGGATTTCCTCTCTGATTCCCCCTTGTGGCACAGTCTGTTGTCCCCTGGCTCCCACAACCTTCTTTGTTGCCTGTTGGCCGGCAGATGCTCCGGGGTGCCCGGCCCTCGGCCCTGCTGAGGCTCTTGTCGCCGCTCCTCCTCACTCCCCCTCCTTCCGCAGCCTTCCTCCAGGCTCTGCCGCCAGCAGATTTCCTCCTTCAGTCCCTGCATTCCTTGATGGCCCGGGCTGCCTTGGTTGTCATGGCAGCGTTTGTCAGTTTCTGAATGATGCTGTTGTATGTGTGAGCTGCTCTCTAGGCCGAGCGCTCCTTGAACTGCACACAGCATGTCCCGTTCCCGGTACAGACCCTGTTGCTCTTGGGTCTGGAGCTGACTGTTGGCTTGCCTTGCAGGAAAGGCCAGCGAATGCGCACTTGTCTGCTTCAGGTGTGTGTCTCGTGTTATCCCCCAAGGGAAGAAGGGAGTGACACTAGGCATTGAGAATCTATGGAGAGATTAGGCTCAAATGTATGGAAAGGACTGTCTGCTCCTACAGACAGATGAATCCAACAATATCAGTATGAGCTAGGATGAGTGCTGGCCGGCAGGCATGGTGTGGGTAATGCAGGACACAGGCCTGCTGCCTGAGCTAGGGAGGCCACTGTTGATGGCTCTCGTGATGGCCCAGTGCCTAAATCCTTACCTTGCAAGCATCAAGATCCCATATGGGTGCCGATTCGTGTGCCATCCAGCTCCCTGCTTGTGCCCTGGGAGAGCAGTTGAGGACAGCCCATAGCCTTGGAACCCTTCACACATGTGGGAGATCTGGAAGAGGTTCCTGGCTCCTGGCTATCGATGGGTTTAGCTCCAGCCCTTGCGGCCACTTGGGGAGTGAGTCAGTGGGCGGAAGATTTTTCTGTTTCTCCTTAGTTTTATAAAACTGCCTTTGCAATAAAAGTCAATATATCTTAAACAAACAAAGAAGGATTTATTTATTTATTTTAAAGGGAGAGGTAGAGAGGGCTTCTACCCACTGGTTCACTCCCCAAATGACTGCAATGGCTGGGACTGGGCAGGCCAGGAGCCAGGAGCTTCTTCTGGGTCTCCTGTTGGGTTAGGGGTCCAGGCAAGTAGGCCTTCCTCTGCTGCTTTCCAACAGTCAGCTGGATTGGCAGGTGGAGCAAACCAGCATCCCTATGTGATGCTGGCACTACAGGTAGTGTCCTTATGTGCTGTGCCATGCTGCTGGCTCTTGTTCAGCATCTTCAAGGTGAGTCACAGATGTTACTGTTTGTGTGTAGGCACAAAGTCTTCTAGTCAAAAGTTCCTGAAAATGCCATCCTGTTCAAGGAAGCCCTGGCTATTGGGCTGTTGTTTTCCTCTGGGTTGATGCAGAAGTGAAGGATTTAGAGTTAGAGGTGGGGCCAGATGCCCCTCCCAGTGGCTGAGTGTGCATGTGTTGAAAGTGGCTCTGACCCTGGGCTGCCCATTCACTCAGCGTACTGAGATGCTGCCACAGTAATCCCTGTGGGCAAAGGGGTGTGACACTGTCTGCTTTTCCCTGTGCCCTTCCTGGATTAGAATCTGAAACCAAGGTTGGAATGAGGCTGCTCGCTTCAGGGTGTGCCAAAGTGGCACACATGTGACTTCTCCATCAGCCCGCAGACCCGTGCAAAGCTGTGTTTCTAAGAGAGCGACGCTGAGAGATTGAAGATTAGTGGACTTTAATGGGGGAAGTCACATGCTTTGAACCATTTTGAGAGCTGGAAATGTGTGGTTGTTCAACTTTCCAAAGCTTCATCCTGGGGGAAAAGCAAGTTAAAAGGTTGTTCGCTGCTTAATCCCATGACTGGGTGTTAACAGTGTTTCCTTTAGAATTAATTGCATTTTCTTATTCCTGCAGGAAATCATAAATTGACACAAATAGCGAAAGTGGTCATCAAGATCTGTGAGCATGAGGTGTGTGTTTCTCAATGAGCTCTTTCAGATGGGATGAAGGACGGGGTGGCGGTGATGATTGCAGTCCCTGAGCTGGAGCAAGTGTTTAGTCCCCCATCCTCAATCCATCCCGTCACCTCATCACCCCGTGCTTAAAGAGTTATTTGTTTTATTTAAAAGGCAAAGTTAATACTCCTGATAACTTTAGTGGAGCCAGGGCTGGACCAAAGCCAGGAGCCTCCCCCCAGTGGGTGCAGAGACTCAAGGAGTTGGGCTGTCCTCCCTGATTGGTCCTATTGACACATGGGGCCACAAGCTCTCCTGCGCTAGGGACTGTGTTGCATACATTCACTGCCGTTGGTTGATTCATTGCCTGTAGTCCTGACACCCAAGGGTGTTTGGGGAGAGTGGGAAGGTCGGGAGGAAGAGTTAAACTGGTGCAAGGTAGCATTGTGCCCTGTGGAGCCCCTGGGCCGGGGAGGGATGGGAGGGGATCCCTCTGTGTAAGGGCTGTCGGGGAGTGAACAGTACCAGGGTGGAGTGTGGTCCACAGAGGGCTGATAAAGCGAGGACCTGTGACCTGCAGTTGAATTTGTTTTGGAGCAGTTCACGTTGTGGGGCTTGGCCAGGTTTGTTTCTCCCTGTGTGTTCAGGACCACTGGTGCCATGTTCTAATGTGTTTTTATTTTGCAGATGAATGAAATTGAAGTGTGTCCTGAGTGTTACCTAGCTGCTTGCCAAAAGCGAGATAACTGGTTCTGTGAGCCTTGTGTAAGTAGGGTTTCTCTAAGCGTATCCCCGAGCCCACCACAGCTTTCTCCCCGGGGAGTTAGCAAACGACATTTGGGGTGAATTTTGAAATGATCTGTTGCTGATCCTGGTATGGAGTGGAAGAAGCCTGGGTGGGAAACACAGCTGACACCAGAAGATGCTGGGCTCTGGTGCTTGCATCGTGGCGTGCTGGGCTGCTGCGCTCGGGCCTCACAGGGTGCTGGGTTGATGAACTGAGCCATCTGCGGGGGGCAGGGTTGCAGGGAGCTGAAGAGAGGTGTGGAGGGTAGATGGGCAGAGCAGACGGTGAAACAAACCTCATGGGAGTGTATCTCTCACGTGTCATAGGGGCCCTGTTTTAACTCATTCATTGTCTTCCCTGGATTCACTCCGTGGTCTCCTGTCTGTCTGCCCTTAGTGTCTCCTGTGGATCTGGGTTTTCTAAGAACAGTACCTGATTGGGGTGGGAGGGAGATGGGGGCTGCCATAGGTCGGGTGACATAAATGGGCCCGGTGCAGCTGAGACCCTGGACCCATGCTAGTCTCTCCCTTGGGGCATGGAAGCCTGGGCACTGGACAGTCTGGAGGCCTGAGAAAGAAGCCAAGGGCCACCCCTGGTTGTGTTCCCGAAGCCCCTCACCTCACCCAGTGTCCCAGGTTAGGGTGTCTGTGTGCGTGTGGTGCAGAGAGGTGAACCCCAGCTCCTGCCGGCCCCCCCCCCCCGCCCCGGTCCTACCGCCCAGCCAGGATTCCAGCTGGCTCTCGGCCCCTTTGCAGTTTCCTGCAGGTGTCTCATCCTTGCCCTGTTTAGGGAAGATGCCCTGGGCCTGCGTCTGATGGAAGCTGGTCATGGCCCGAGTGTCCCCATCTGCCGTGTTTGTTCTCAGCATGCGCCTGGCTGTTGAATCCATGCAGACTCTGGGTGTTTTCTTTCCTAGAGCAATCCTCATCCTTTGGTCTGGGCCAAACTCAAGGGCTTCCCCTTCTGGCCTGCGAAAGCTCTACGGGACAAAGATGGACAGGTTGATGCCCGGTTCTTTGGACAACACGACAGGTGGGAATTCCGTCGGGCTTAGCTTAGCTTAAGCCTTAGCTGCAGCTGAACCTGTGGCATGTCCTTGGATAAGAGAGGAGGTGGGAGGGCATGGTGGTGATTGGTTTGGTTGTCCTGACGCCAGCTCAGCCTGGCAGTCTCTGGCCTTCAGTTTTATTGGGTGTAACAGAAGAGCATCTTGCTCTCATGGTTGCTGTGGGTTACCTGGCTGCTTCAAACATTGTTATCCCCCCTTTTTGGGTGGGGGTGGGAATGAGGTGTGGTTTCTGGAGTAAATAAAGCTTGTGTATAAAATTGTATTTCAGAATAACACTTTTAGGGGCCAGAAGTCTTCTCCTGTATTGTTAGTGTCTCCGTGTCATTCGTGTGCCTGAAGCCCTCCCATTGTCTCCGTCTGAGGCCGAAACAGAAACCGACGGGCATGCGGCCTTGTTAGCTGTCTGCCTTCCACGGTCCCCTTCCCCTCCTCACAGTGCAAAGTGAAATTATTCCCTTGAACGTGGAGCCCCTGTGTCCCCGGCAGCAGCAGGTAGCTGTAGATGAGCAGCAGTTCATATCTTTAGTTGTCTTTTAGCAGGTAACCGTGTGACTAAATGTGGCAGAGACTCAGCATGTGTTGGGGGAGAATATTTAAAATTCTGTACCCACCTGGCACAGGTGGAAAGACAACATACATACACAGACGTAAAAACGCAATTTTCGAAAAGGTTGGTTTATTCTTTTGAAAGACATGGAGACAGAGGGAGAGTGAATGAGAAATTGTCCATTTGCTGGTTGAGTCTGCAAATGACAAACAACTGGTGCTGGGCCCGGCTGAAGTCAGGAGTTAGGAGGTCCACATGGGGCATCTCACGTGGATGGCAGCACCAGCTGAGCCATCACTTGCTGTCTCTTAGGTGAATTAGTGAGAAGTCAGATCAGAATCAGAGCAGCTGAAGCTTGAGTAGCTGCCGAGTTGTCAGTGGTGGTTTAATTCACTGTGCTACAATGCTGTAGTCCAGCATTTCCTTTTTAAATTTTCATTTATTTTTTTTTTGATTATTATTATTATTATTATTTGAAAAGCAGAGATACAGAGGCAGACAGAGAGAACATGAGTAAGTTGGAGATGGATAGGGAACAACTGAACCAGTGAGCTTTCATCTGCCAGTTCATTCCCCAAATGGCTGTGCCCGGTCTGAAGCCGGGAACTTCGTCTGGGTCTCCCACTTAGGTGCAGAGGCCCAGGGACTTGGGCCATTTTCCATGGCTTTCCCAGGTACCATGGTAGGGAGCTACATGGGAAATGGAACAGCTGGGACTCCACTCAGCCCCCATTTGGGATGTGGACACCATGGGCAGCCTTAGTGCCGGCCTCCTATATTTTTATTTATTTGAAAGACACACACACACACACACACACACACACACACACACTCTTTTCATTTGCTGGCTTAGTCTTCAGCTATCTGCAACAACCAGGACTGGACCAAGCCATGGCTAGGAGTCTCCCGTTGGGTCTCAGGGATCTGAGTGGTTGAGCCATCTCTTGCTGCCTCTCAGGGTGCGTGTATCAGCAGGAAGCTGAAGTTGGGAGTGGAGGCAGAACTCAGCCCTGTCTGGGAGAGGCTGCTTCCTGGACACATGACTCTGCATGGGCACTTTGTGGTCATTGGTGACCGAGCCAGAGTCTTCCCTTTGGGCCCTGTTGTACCTCCCTGCTCAGTCCCGGAGGGTGGGTGCTCCGAGGCTTCTGTTGAATAAGGGAGTGGTTAAGGGCGCTCCATGGGGCTAGCCAGCAGCTGTGGGTGAAGCCACACCTCACAGGATGGCTTCCTCCCGGGGAGTCCTCTTCACACCCCAGAGACCTCCAGCCCTTGGGGTGCATCTGTCACAGGCCACTCTGAGTGGCACCCAGGAACACGGGGCTGTGGAGGCCACCAGCTCTTGCCCAGGGAGCCCCTTGGTGGGTGTAGAACCCAAGCCTGAGCTGGACGGTGTGAGTGCGGGAGGCCAGGGCCACAGGGTCAGAAACGACACGGAGTATCTGTGGGCTCTTGGTCAAGGAATAAGCCCGGAGGATAAGCCGGGAACCCCAAAAATTATTTTATAGACAAACACATAATTATCTAGAAATATTGGAAATCTCATTAATGGCCTGCAGAGCTTGAAGGAAAAATCGGCAACAGTAACTGAACACTTACTGTGCGTCTGGCGATGCTGGAAGTGGTTTTTCTTTTTTTTTTTTCTTTTTTCTTTTTTTTTGTGGAGCTGCCTCTTAATTTTTTTAGTGATTTATTTAGTTGTAAGGGAAAAGTGGATTTTTATGTGCTGATTCACTCCCTAACTGGCCAGAAGCCAGGAATTCCATCTGATCGCCCACGTGGGTGCCAGCAGTGAAGGCGTTCTGGAGGAGTTTCAGGTTCCTGCCTTTGACCTGTTCCAGCCCCTCTCTTGTGTGGGTATGTGGGCAGAGGTCCAGGGCATGGAAGAGAGGTCTCTGTCACTCAGTTCTTGACATGAACAAACAAAGCTTAAAAAAAGTTCATGGGAAGTGCGTATTACAAAGACGCCTCTCACGAAGAGCCTCGTGTGATGGAATTCAAGTTTTGTTTTGCACCAACCAAGACTTTGAATGAGCTTGAAGTCCTGTTGGTGTCATTTGCTGTTCTACACTGTTCCCCTGATGGGGGTTGGTCCTGCGTTCACCCGTGGCAGAGCCAGGATCACGTGGCGTCTGAGCTGTGTCCCCATCCTGGCTGGAACCTTGCTCCTCACCACCCAACACACCCCATGGTCTCCCCCTTGAGGCTTTTCTCTCCACTCCATTCTCGTTCCCTCTGGCCGATGACACGACTTCTCAGGCCTGGAAAGAGTGACAGGTCAGGGCTGAATGCGAAGCTGGTCATTTCCACCACTCTGGGGGAGTGGCTCACTTTTTGGGGAGTGTTTGGCTTTTCCTCCTTTCCATTTAGCATTGCCAAAGGTTGTACTCCATCCGCCTCTACTCTGAATTGTGCCACGTGGACATGCTGAATTCCTCCTGGGTGGTTTGGAATTGCTTGTCAAGTGTTGTACTTGTGGCCAAGTGTATGTGGGTTGAGCACCCCCTATGCTGAAAATCAAAAGTGCTCAATTCCGAGACCTCTGAGTACCAGTGTGATGGCCTTGAGTGGAAAATTGCTTAGCTCACATCCAAAAGCGTGTTATACAGCAGGTGCTCTATAAATCAACCTCAGGGTTATGTGTGTGAGGTGGAGATGAAGCAGAGATGAATTCTGAGTTTAGACTTGGGTCTCTTCCCCAAGATGGTTCGTTCTATAAATGCAGGTCTTCCAGAAGCTTAGCAATAGCCGAGATCCTGCTGGTCCCTGTCATTCCAATCAGGCATGGTTGAGCTTGGCAAATCCGAAGCCCATTTTTCCTAATTCTCCTCCAAACACTGGCGTTGGGGGGCTCTGGACTGTGGCTGGGCCGATGCCACTGGCTGCCCACGTCCTGGCTGTGGGTGTTGCGGCTCACTGATGGCAGCTGAGCTCCTGGCTGCTGTGGACCTGCTCTGGCCCTGCGGTCTGGGAGGTCAGCAACGCTCCTTGGGCAAGCTCCTTTGTCCCAGCACTGGGAGTGCCACGTGAGGAGCACGTGCTGTCCTGACGTCCGTGTGTGGCCTCGGCTGTCACCCACCATGCCTATGTGGCATCCCTGGCCCGTCCTGCGGTCACATGGGTCTCTGGTTCCAGGATGGCCCCTGGCGTTTTCGTCGCCTTGGTCGCCCGGTGGTTCGTAGGGTGTTGAGGGAGGAGCTTGAGCCTCCTGGAGCAGGTGGTGCCAGGTCCACACTAAAGGCCAACTAGTTTTGGGACATTCCCTGAGTGAACTGTCTCACCTTCAGTCACATGCCCTTCTAACAGGCAAGCCATTTCCAGAGTGTCCATCGGATGCCCTTTCAAGTTGCAGCGAGAAAAGAAAGCTCCTCGTGGCCTCAGGTCGCCAAGGGAGTTCTGGGGAGTCATTTTACGTTCGGAGGTGTAGTGGGGCCTGCAGTGGCTGGGGGCCAGTTCCTCACCCGCCACCAACCGAAAGCCCAAGAGGGTTTCTTTCTTTTTTTTACTGAATTAAAATGACAGTGCATTCAGCCTTTTCACATTTTAGCCTAGTTTCGTTCTCGATTGCTGTCTTGAAGGCAGAACTTGTCAGCTCAGTGGATCATTAATGAGCCGTCAAGCCAAATCATTGTCAGAAAATAGAATAAATATGTACACATCTTGGCAGAGGCCAGTGTTGTGGCATGGTAGGTTAGCCCGCTAGCATCCCATATGTGCTCCAGTTCACATCCCTTCTGCTGCACTTCCTATTTAGCTCTTAAAAATGGGTGAGCATCTTGGCCAAAGGAGTGGGCTCGTTGTTTTTGTGTTAAGAGACCGGCAGCCTTAGAGGTGACTGATTTAACTGATGCCATCTCTCGCCCTCCCAGGGCCTGGGTCCCCATCAATAACTGCTACCTCATGTCTAAAGAAATCCCTTTTTCTGTGAAGAAGACGAAGAGCATCTTCAACAGTGCCATGCAGGAGATGGAGGTGTACGTGGAGAACATCCGCAGGAAGTTTGGGGTCTTTAATTACTCTCCGTTCAGGACGCCCTACACACCCAACAGCCAGTACCAGATGCTGCTCGACCCCACCAACCCCAGTGCGGGCACCGCCAAGGTTGACAAACAGGAGAAGGTCAAGCTCAACTTCGACATGACGGCCTCCCCCAAGATCCTCATGAGCAAGCCGATGCTGAGCGGCGGCTCCGGCCGCAGGATTTCCTTGTCGGACATGCCCCGCTCCCCGATGAGTACCAACTCCTCCGTGCACACGGGCTCTGACGTGGAGCAGGACCCCGAGAAGAAGGCCACCTCCAGCCACTTCAGCGCCAGCGAGGAGTCCATGGACTTTCTGGATAAAAGCACAGGTCAGCCCCGGATGCGGGTGGGGTGCGGAAGCCAGCAGGATGCAATGCAGCCATCACAGGGCTGTGCTGAAGGGTTCTGCTTCCTGGAACTGGCATTCCCTGGGTTGCCTGGTGGGATACCTCCAGGGAGGGACCCTAAAACAGGAAGAGTGCTTCCCTAGAGACCAGCTGGTGTCACACACCGCTTGGATTGATCACATCGGCCTTCCACAAGGTCGTTCTTTCCCAAGAATTTCATGTTAATAGACAATGAATTTCTCTGTGAAGATTGTGCAGTCACACTAACTGCTCAAGTGCTGGAGAGTCGTGTGAGGCCAAAGGTTGTCCCCCAGGTCCTCCATGGCCTGCAAGGTCCTGCATCCAGCACTTGGGCTGCGTGTCTAAGATGTGCCGGAGTGAAGTGGTTGAGGATGTGGCTGTTGCTGTCACATCTCAGCCCTGCCACTCGCTGGCCATGTGACTGTGGGCCAGGCCTGTATCCTCATTTTACTTCGGTTTCCCATCTGTGCATAACTACTGAATAAGCTGACGTCATAGTTTCTGGGAAGCGTGAGGTGAAAGGTGAACAAATGCACACAGAGGCCTTAGAGCAATTCCTGGTTGCTGCGTTGTCTTGGTGGCCACTCGTGCGGATGGGTGAGCAGGGATGCAGTCACGAGATGCTGGCCCAGGGTCCAGGAAGTGATACGGCCTTGGTGGGGAATGCCTCCCGTGTCCCGTGTTCATGCCTCAACCGGATGGCTTCCCAAGGAAATGGCGTGGCCTCATTTTGCTCGAAGCACGGGCTTCTCGGTGTTATTTCTTGGTCCCCTTTGAGCGCCATGGGTCCCTGAGGTTTCGCACGACACTGAAGGTGGTCCTGTGAGTTGCGAGGAGAACCAGGAGGAATCCCCGTCCCTCGCGGCAGGGCTTCAGCCTCAGCCTGCTGTGTGGGGGTGCAGGCTGGGGGCTTGCAGCTCTGAATGCTGTGGTCCAGGGGAAGCAGAAATCCGCGTGTTAAAGGGAAGGCTCAAGTTGCTAAGTGTCAGGTCGGGATGCCCAAGCATGATTTGTTTCTTAAAGATTTATTTATTTTTATTGGAAAGTCTATACAGGGAGACTTTCTATACAGTATATATCTATACAGAGGAGGAGAGACAGAGAGGAAGATCTTCCATACACTGATTCACTCCCCAAGTGACTGCAATGGCTGGAGCTGAGCCAATCCGAAGCCAGGAGCCGCTTCCCACACAGGTGCAGGGTCCCAAAGCATTGGCCCATCCTCTACTGCTTTCCCAGGCCACAAGTGGGGAGCTGGATGGGAAGTGGGGCTGCCAAGACACAAACTGACACCTATATGGCATCTTGGCGCATGCAAGGTGGGGGCTTTAGCCACTAGGCTACTGCACCAGGCCCCAAGCATGATGTCTAGAGTGAGCAGGGTGCACTCACAGGTTGCACCAGCAGCCTGAGTGACAGCTTGGAGGGTTTGTACCCACCGTTGCTCACCATCCTTGACCGAAGAGCTGTGGAGGGAGGAAGTGTCCGTTCTGGAATGGGGACTTGGTGGTGCATGGACTTTGCTCAGTTTGGTTATTGTTTCAAGTGTCTTCTCCAGCTACTCCCCAGATGGTGGAGGGGGTGGAAGGAGAGTGACCTGTGGCTTTTGGCTGTTAACGGGAGCAGCCTCTTTCTGCTGTTCTGGTTCACAGGCTCTCTCAAGCTGGTTCTCACAGTCAGGTTGTAGAGCTTTGTTCTAGATCAACATCATTTGTGTTCTGGAAGAATCTTCCTTTCTGCCCTTGTGTTTCTTCTTCTTTTTAAAGATTTATTTATTTATTTTTATTGGAAAGTCATATATACAGAGAGGAGAGACAGAGAGGCTGGTTCACTCCCCAAGTGGCCGCAACGGCTGCCAGAGCTGAGCTAACCCGAAGCCAGGAGCTTTTCTCTGGATTTCTCACTCAGGTGCAGGGTCCCAAGGCTTTGGGCTGTCCTCGACTGCCTTCCCAGGCCACAAGCAGGGAGCTGGTTGGGAAGTAGAGCTGCCAGGATACCAGCTGATGCCCGTATGGGAACCTGTCGGTAGTTGCAAGGCAAGAACTTTACCCACTAGGCTACTGCGCTAGGCTTGACACGTTGTCTTTGGAACCTTCAGGTTCAGCCCTGATGGTGGCAGAGACCCTGTTGATGTAGGCTGAATTTGAATTTCAGGCTTAGGGGAACACCTGCTATGCCGGGTGTGATTGGCTTACCACGATCACTGATGGAGGGAGGCAGTAGGAATTACCCCCGTCTCGATTTTGCAGAAAGCAGGTTGGGAAGTTCTGGGAAGAGAGTAAGGGGAAGTGACACCAGTCCTCCCTGCCAGGTGCCAAGTCCAAGTTCCTTTTCACTGCAGCCTACTGCCCTCTGCTGTTAGCAGTGGGGAGCAGCAGTCAGAGGAGCGAGACTCGATGGTGGGCACAAAGGGCAGTGCTTCCCCGGTCAGGGGTGATGTCATTGACACCAGGCTGGTTTATCCAGCACAGTGTCACAGAAGCTTCTCACGTCCCAGGGGACAAGGACCACACAGATGACTTCAGCAGTGAGGGTTCTGCACCAGTCGTGGGAAGCAGCAAGGTGGCATTCAACACATTGAACAGCTCTTGTTGAGGGAAGTTGCAGTGCTGAGGCCGCGGCAGGATGGGCATTGTCGACGGCTCTTCCCTCTGGTGTTCGTGGAGACCGGAGACACTGTGCTTCTAGAACCGTCTCGGGGAGAGTACTGCATGTGAGAGCCAAGAGCTGTTGGATCAGGTTGGAAGGAGAGCACTGAGACATGAAAAGTGGGAGCTGCACGCCACGTTCCTCTGCCAGAATGTGGAGACCCTTTGCCAGCAAGATGACTCTTTTTTAAACGGAGCTTTTATTTCTTTTACGTTTATTTGTTTTTATTGGAAAGGCATATTTACAGAGAGAAGGAGAGACAGAGAGGAAGGTCTTCTATCTGCTGCAGTGGCTGAAACTGAGCCAATCCAAAGCCAGGAACCACAAGCTTCTTACGGATCTCCCAGTGGTACAGGCTCCCAAGGCCTTGGGCCGTCCTTGACTGCTTTCCCAGACAGGAAGCAGGGAGCTGGATGGGAAGTGGAGCAGCTGGGACACCAATAAGCGTCCATGAGGTCCTGGTGCTTGGAGGTGGAGGATTAGCTAACTGAGCCATTGTGCTGGGCCCCGAGGGTGAATTTTTATGTGAAGACAGTGACATTTGTGAAATATGTAGACTCTATTGACACGGCCTCATGTGAAGTTTCCCATTCCATTGATGTTTAAGATCTTTCCTGGAGTTACTATGTCTTGTTTATAATAATGCCGTTGTGTGTTTGTGCGAGAGGAAGGAGAGGAGCTCTCATCCACTGGTTCTCTCCCTAAGTGTCTGCCGTGGCGGGGCGGGGGAACTGAGGCTGTGCACTGGAGTCAGCCACCTGAGGCAGGACTCCACCCTGTGGGCCCCAGGACTCCAACCCTGGCACTCCCCTCTGGGTCCCAGGTGCTTTCACCAGCCCTGAGGCTCCACACTGCCCCTACCCTCACTTTTTGTAATTTTTTAAATTCTAAAGTCAGATATACAGAGATGAGAGACAGAGAGGAAGATCTTCTGTCTTTTGATTCACTCCCCAAGTGATGGCACGGGCCGGAGCTGCACCAATCCGAAGCCAGGAGCAAGGAGCCTCTTCTAGGACTCCCACGTGGGTCCAGGGTCCCAAGGCTCTGGACTGTCCTCGACTGCTCGACTGCTTTCCCACAAGCAGGGAGCTGGATGGGAAGTGGGGCTACCAGGATTAGAACCGATGCTCATAGTGCTTGGAGTGGCAAGATTGACAGCAATTCATAACTGTTGCAATATCAAAACCACTTGAGCAAGAACCTCAGAGCATGCCCTATATCCGGGACCAGGGGAGGGTGGGAAATTGGGTGGGCCTTCTCCCTTAAATACGCCCCTTTAAACATGAAGGTAACAATATGGAAAACATACTAGTATTATCCACTTTCCTGTAGTCCTTGAACCTTCTTACCCTAATTAACTATGTAAAGAATGTTAAAATAAAATTTTATTTTAAAAAATAAAGAGAAATAAAAAAACAAAAACAAAACAAAAAAGAAGTTAAAAAAAAAAGAACCGATGCTCATATGGGGTCCCAGTGCATGCAAGGCAAGGACTTTAGCTGCTAGGTTACTGTTCCGGGCCCTCTACCTCCACTATTTATGGGCATTTTCAGAGCCCGTTTTTTGTGGGGAGGTGTGAGGAACAGAGTCCCGAGTTGAAAATCCCTGGAACTGGGCCAGCACCGTGGCACCATCACCACACTGTCTGTGTTCCATATCTGAGCCGCAGCCCTGGCTACCCAGCCTCCAATGCACTTCCTGCTAAGGTGCCTGGAGAAGCAGCCAACAGTGGCCCGCGTGCTTGGATCCCTGCTACCCACGTGGGAGCCCGGGTGGAGTGCCAGGCTCCTGGCTCTGGCTTGGCACGGACCTGGCTGCTGGCGGCCATTTGGAAGAACTGTCACTCTCTATAACTAACCCTTTCCAAAAAATAGGTTAATAAGTAAATATTAAAAAAAAAAATACACACTTAGAACTGGGTTCAGCTTTTTAAGAGACACTCTGTTCAGCCAAAAGCCTTTAGCTTGCAGTACCCTGCTATCCAGCTGGCTTGATGGCCCAGGTGTTTCTGTTCTTACAGATTTTTCTGGTTCCTGCTTTATCTTGGTCTCTGCAACAGACCTGCTGCTCTTTCTAATGCCTTCTTGCAGAATACCAGGGTCCGTTATAAGCGTGGATTAGGCAGAAGACTTGGGGCCGAGCTTTTACCTCTGAGTGGATGGGCCTGGCTCCACTGTGGGGTTACCCTTCCGGGCCAATGGGGAGATATTTTCCTATATGCCTCTTGTATGCTTTTGTCATGAAATAATTGTTAACCATGAGACTGCAGGCGCTGCTGATCCCGTCTCAGTGAGCTTGTGGGCCTTCCCGTGTCAGTTCCCACGTCACACTATTCTATTGGAAGCCCAAACGCGTTGAGGTTCAAGCAGAGAAGCGAATGAGATCAGGAAGACGTGGGAGGCGTGTGACTGGGAATAGCCATTGCCCTTGTGTCATGGTTACACACCCACCTGTGCTTGCTTGTGCACGCCCGTGTGTCACACAGTCCTCGCAGAACTCTGTCTTCTGATCCATGCTGTGTTTCCCTTCTTTTATTTCCTTCTCTAGCTGCTGCTTACGACCCATGAGGGTCAGCCCTGGCCTGTAGCTCCCACACACGGGTTAGAGGGGGCTGTCTTCATGCGAAGGCCTGGAACCTCTTCTGCTGGTTCTGTTCCCAAGGGGGCTGCGCGCTCCATGCTGCCAGGCTGACTGAGATTCTAGAGACCCAAACAGTGTTTCTTGTATTCTATGTGACATGTGCCCCTGAATCACCTGTTTCATGATGCACCTGTCCTGGTGTCTGGTGTAGGTAGCGTAGGATGTTTGTTTGTTTTAAAGATTTATTTTATTTTACATATTCGAAATGCAGGGTTACAGAGAGAAAGATCTTCTATCTGGTGGTTCATTCCAGAGCGAGGCCAGGCTGAATCGAGGAGCCATTCAGGTCTCCCGTGTGGGCCCAGGGACCCTAGGACTTGAATCAATGTCTGCTGCTCTCCCTGCACATTAGCAGGGAGTTAGATTAGGAGTGGAGCAGCAAGGCAGGGGAGATCCCAGCGATGTAGACTCTGCGTTCTGTTATTCTGGCCCTGGAATATACATTTAAATTTAACCTTTTGTTTTGTGAGTACTTTTTCATTGTTAGTAAGTAATCCTTCAGAATAGTATTTACTTAGCGGTGCTTCCTAAGCCATGCAGGCCCCCAGGGATGCTGCCTGTACCTCCCAGGAGCTGGGTGACTGCAGCCCTTGGAGTGAGGAGGTCTTGCCTAAGGGCCTCTCAGCTGAGGAACTTAGCTGCTCAACCTCTGTGGGCCTAGGAGCTGGGCTGTGTGGACAGGAAAGGGCCCTGTGTTCTGACCTTATTCTTGGGTCAGACCAGCACAGGTCCAGGGTTGGGTTTGCAAAGGTAGGGAAGGAATGACAAGTCAACCGAGCATCAAAGCTTAAAATCTGATTATGTTATTTGCAACTTCAAAGGCAACTAGTTCTTTGGGTGACATTTATGGCTGTAAGTCCTTTTATGAAAGGACCGGCCTCTGTTTCAAAGGGTAATTAAAATCAACGTTTGCAAGTGTATCTTTGCTTTTGAAAATGTCCAGAGCGTTTTAAAGCAGTGGTTCTCAGTGGTTCTCAGCCTCTGCCTCCTCGGTGTTTGGGCTGGACTAGTTCCCTGCTGTGGGTCCATCTTGGGCCCTGCAGGCTGTTGAGCAAGCTGTCCTGCCTCTGGCTTTCAGAACCATCCACATCCTTGCCCACAGTGAGGGCAGATGGAAGAGTCTGCAGAGGTCACCCTGTCTTCCCCTGCACCTGCTGAAAACCCTGGATGGGATGCAGCAGGCTTTCAGATTATCACGCTAGTCGCAGAGTATGTGGTACTCATCTGTAATGCTTACATTTCATTTTGTGTAAAATGTTCATTTTGAAACTTGGTATTATAAAATACCCAGCAAGGAAATCCAACCTAAGGGGGGCAGCTGTTAGGAATCGGGTCTGCCTTCCGAATGTTCGATGCCTAGCATTAACTTGGCCGTAGCTTTTAGTGTTGGAGTGGGATGGTTACTGAGCTTTCTTTAACTTTGTTTCTCTGACATCTTACTAGGCATTTATTTATTTCATTTTAAAACCCAAGAGACCCACTTAGCACACCCTTCTGCTGGTTCACTCCCCACATGCCTGGGATTGGGCCAGACTGATGCCAAGAGCCTGGAATTCCATCTGGGTCTCGCACAGGAACGGCAGGAACCCAAGTACTTGAGCCTCTTGGGATCCGCTCACAGGAAGCTGGGCTCCAGAGCAGGGGATGCTGGGAGCCTCGGAGCTGGTACTGCTGCGGCGGATGTTGGCGGCCCAGCAGCATCCTCACTGCTGTGCCGAGCCGGGTCCTACTCTGGGTGGCTCGTCCTCACTGCTGCACAGAGCGGCGTCCTGCCCTGGGGGGCTCGTCTTGCTCTTGGCACTGCTTGCTTTTTGTAACATTGAAGACTGTTTATGCTGGGACTTCTGCATGGGATTTCAGAGCTTTAATCTGGTTGCTGTTGTTTCCTTGCTGTTCCTCATGATCCCATAATGGGAAGAGAAATGGAGACCTTGTTCTCCAGTTAGCCCATTTCATGTACTTGCTGGTTCCGTGGGATGTCTGGCTTCCTGGCAGCCAGCAGGGCCCCTGCTGGTCTGGAACCTGTGCCCCAGGGCGGGGCCTTAGGGGGAGGGTCAGACAGCCCTTTGCCCACTTTGGGGTTGTCTCTTTAGCTCTGAAGTAGATTTTTTTTTTAAAGATTTATTTTTATTATTTTTTATTGGAAAGGTGAATATACAGAAAGGAGAGACAGAGAGGAAGATCTTCCGTCCGATGATTCACTCCCCAAGTGAGCGCAACGGGCCGATGCTATGCCAATCCGAAGCCAGGAGCCTCTTCCAGGTCTCCCACGTGGGTGCAGGGGCCCAAAGCTTTGGGCGGTCCTCGACTGCTTTCCCGGGCCACAGGCAGGGAGCTGGATGGGAAGCTGGGACTGCTGGGATTAGAACCTGCACCCATATGGGATCCCGGGCGTGCAAGGCGAGGACCTTAACCACTGCGCCACCGCACCGGGCCCTGAAATAGATTTTTAAAACTTAATATTGAAAAAAGAAAAGCACGGTAGAGGAAGAAAAGCCCTGGTATTTGTGGGAATATAGTGTGTGGATTTTCCGAGTTCTTGTTTTTTTTTAAAACCCCCGCCCCCAAGCTCTTTTGAATTCCTTTTGGATGTAGTTAGAACATAAGTGACTTTTTAAAATCCTAATAATATTTGTGTGTGTGTGTAACACGCACATTCGTCTTTTGCTTACAGCATCAGTGGAAATGTTCCCAGCACCAGCTGTCACATGAGGGCTGTTGTCTGCCAGCTGCCGGGCCAGGCAGTCTGTTCATGTTCATGTTAAGATGGATTCCATTCCGCATGTTTTCAGTGTCCTTCTCCAGGTCATTTCTGGACTCCACTGGGCACTTGCTGAGCCTTCCCTGTCCCCCTCCTTAGGCTCTGGGTTCCCAGATGGGGCTGTGCCATCTGGCGAAGTATGGCGTCCTCAGCTACAGCACGGGTCACCCCTGGGACCAGGTAATTCTTGTTGTGTGGGTTGTCCTGTGGGAGAGTAGGGCTGGGGCGTTTCTTAGCGTGGCTCCTGCCGTTAGCAGCCCTGCTCCTCCTTGTGGTGGTGGCCAGAACTTGGCTTGCTTACTTTGGGGGTCCTGGTGGGGGTGGCGTCGGGATGTGTGGGGAACTAGAAAATGAAACCACAGGAACAGATGGGAGTATGCATGGTTGGACTTCAGTGGATCTCGCCAATCGCAGTTTGGAGATATTCAGGGAGAATTCTCGCAGCTCCACCTAAACAGTGGCAGGACAAAGAGAGCAGAGAGAGAGTGAGAGCTTTTCACCTGCTGGCTTGTTTCCCAGGTGACCCCAAGGGTCAGGGCTGGGCCAGGCCAAAGGCTGCAGCCTGGACTGCATTCAGGGCAGCTCCCGTGGGGAGTGGGAGCTATCAGTTATTGCTGCTTCCCGGGGCTCAAACGTGCAACCCCCGGATGTGGCACGCCGGCCTTGCACGTGGCGGCTGCGTGCACTGCGCACGACACAGGTTGCAGGTGCAGATTTTCCTGTGTGTGATTATTCGCTAGAGGATGCCGTCTATCCAGTGCTCGTGCGGCATCTACGTTGTATTAGGGATTGTAAGTCTCTACAGACACTTCAGAATGGGTAGGGGGATTGTGTGTGTTCAACAGGGACTCGAGCATCCCGGGCTTTCTAGGTGGGGAGGTCTCAGAGCCAATCCCAGGGCTGCTGAGGGCTTCCTCGTGGCAGGCGCCCAGGGTGATGGAGTGACAGGTTGAGCCCTCCTGTCGGCCTGTGACATCCTGTGTGGCTTGGGTCGGCCCCTGTTGTCTCTGCTGCCAGGAAGGGGACAGGGCAAGGCGGCAGTGGGGTAGAACTTGAACCCCTAGTGTCTGGCTCGCAGTACTGACCCGTCTTTATCTCAGGCCTCTGTAGGTCTATCAGCTCTTTTTCCGAGATCCTGCATTGGGTGATGCTAATGATCCTGGCACCAAAGCTAGGATAATCTCAGATGACTTGCTGAGCTGGTCTCCCAGTTCAAGCCATTCACTCCTCACCTTGAGACTTTGGCCTTTGGCCGGGGAGCAGACCGAGCTGGGTGCCCAGCCGAGGGGACACCTTGATTCCTGGCCCTTGGCTGTCAGTCTGGACCAGATCCTTCTGGATTCCTTGCTCACTGGCAGGAAGATCAGCTCTTTTAGTTTGTAGTCTCAGCTGTTTCTGAATAAGCTTTAACGGGAGAGGCCTAACAAGGTGGTACGGACAGAACCTGCGGGCAGAGTAGGAAGGTTCCTTAGTTTGTGGCTGTGCTGCAGTCTGTTTAGTTAAAACAGACAGTGTGGGCCTCACTTAGCAGAGGCTGAGGACAAATGCATCGCAGCTAGTTTGTAGGCATCTGTCTTCTGGTAAAAGTTGGAAATACAAAACCGAGGGAGGACATTGGCCAGCGACCCCTATGCTCTGCCTGGCAGTGAGTTGGCTTCACGCAGCCTTGAAAACCTTTGAAATGGGAGCTGGTAGCTTCCCCAGGGACTGCGTCGCTTGCCGGCAGGTGCAGTAGCCTTTTGAGAGCAGGCCGCCTCATCTTCCCACAAACGGATACCATGCTACCAAGGAGGCCTGGCTCCCAAGGCAGGCCCTGTAGGGGCTGGTTTCATCGCTGTTTATTTTGAGATTTACACCCGTGAGTGGGCCAAGCCCATTTCAGTGGCAGCTTAGCCGATTGGTCTTAGAGCTTTGGGTGTAATAGAATCCTGAGGGAGGCCGTCGCCTTTGCGGCTTTCACGGTTGAACATTGGGTTGAAGCTCCAAGCTGCAAACAAATGGCCAGCCCTCCCGGCCCCACGGCCTCATGACACCTTGTAGGCCTCGGTGACACCTTGCATGCTTTCACACTCTGTCCACTCTCCCCCAGCCCCCTACCTGCACATTTGCCTCCTGAATTCATTGGTGAATCTGACCTTGTTTTTTTTCAGCCTCCCCCGCCTCCACCAAGACGGGACAAGCAGGGAGCTTATCCGGCAGCCCCAAACCTTTTTCACCTCAAGCATCAACTCCAGTCACAACCAAGACAGACAAAGCCTCCACCACCGGAAGTATCCTGAATCTTAACCTGGGTCAGTTGCAAGTTTTTGGAATTCGTCTTGGGGCAAGTTGGGATGATTTATACAAACTGTGAGGTCCTGTTTCTTATGTGGCTTGTGAACTTTGAACCTTTTTTTTTAAAAAAAATTTTATGCATGGAATTTAAAAGGTCCAGTGAGTGAGGACAAGGCGTAATGGAGCCAAGGCAGGTGCATCCTTGGGCCGGTGGCTTGCAAAGTGGTTTTATCTTCAGGTGCCTCTGCCAAGGCTGCCAGGCTTGGTTTCCCCAGCACAGTGACTGCTGCGTGTGAGCGTACACATGTAAGGCATACCGTAAGTGTTTGAACTGCGTCACCTCTCCTGTGTGTGTGCACTTGGGTACACGGCTGCCTTTGTTGTCTTTCTCTCCCAAATTATGTCATAACCTATTGGATTTCACTTGGTGGTTGGAATAACACGACTGCAGGCCAGAGACCTGAGCTAACCTTGGCACCAAGGTCGTGAAACAACAGCATCTGAAGTTCCTTTACAGTTGGCCCCCGTTGTGACCCTCCGGTTTTAGCCCGCACCTGCCCTGTGCAGTGTGCAGTTTTCAGTATGGGCAGTAGAGTCGGCTAAAACGCTGGTATCCTGGGTTCTGGCTGCTGCAAACTGGGCGCCTTGAAGGAGGGACGTGTTGATCCAGTAGAGAGATGGGCAGGCTGGGCAGGCATGGTGGCTCCTTGAGTTGGGGGAGGGGGATTACAGAGAAGCCTCTTGCCAGGAAATTTGAATTGAGATTTTTACCTAACATGCCATGCTAATCTCACAAGAAAGATCATTCTAGAAGGAGCCAGATTTTTCTCCTCTTTTTTTTTTAAGGCCGTAGGTTAAGGATTAACTTGGTATGTTGCAGGGTTAGCCAGGAGGCGGCGGCTGCATTCCAGTGAGCGGGGCTGTGGGGACATTGGTGGCACTTGATGGATGTGGAGGGGATTGACAAGAGGAGAGATCTGAATGGACCCTGTGCTGCCTGGAGAGAACATTCTCTTACCAGTTTTGTCCTCCCCACCCTGGGACACCTGGCTGTGACTGGAGCTGTTGTCTGGTCATGACAGGAGGAGGTGTTAGTGCCAGCTGGCGTGGTGAGGCCAGGGCTGCTCAGAGCATCCTGTCCCAGAGAGTTGACGCACTTTGGAGAAGCAGGAGTCAGGCCTGGGCAGCTGGTGTGATGATGGGAATCCTTAGGGCAGGGCAGGTTCTCGCATCTGTGTGTGGGGTTTGAGGCGCTACTGCCATCTGGTGGGTGGAGGAAGCGGCTGTGGCTCAGCAGCCTGTCTGGGACAGCCCCAATGCTGAGCTAAGCTGTGGGTCAGGTCTAGCTTTAGCGTATCAGAAGAGCCCAGGTTTTGGGGTATTGTAAAGATCAGCCTGGAAGCAGCAGCACGTGGTGGAGAAGGCGGGTGCCACACTGTGGCGTTGGTGTTGCCCTGCAGGCTTCAGGCCCATAGGATCTTGGGTTGGGAGGCTGGCTGCTGTGGGCAGTGATGCCTACATGGAAACCGCAGCTACCTGTGGCGTGGTGTCCTAGGGATGCACTGCACCATGCACTGAGTGTGTTTTTCAGATGGGGAAACTGAGGCTGGAGAGACAACTCCAGGTGTCTAGCTCACAGAGCTGGCGCCTCCCTCCTCATGGACCTCGGCTCAGGTGTCAGGGCACAGCTTTGGGGGGCCCCAAGTGAGAGCGACTGGCTGGCTTCTCCCTGGAACTCAGCAAGCAGAGAGGCATCCTGCGTGCCCCTGGGAACACTGGCTGTCCCCAGCTTTGTGCTCTGCCGTGTCCCACCCCCCTGCCACAGCATCTTCTCTCTGCCTTCCCCAAGCCACCGGGGACCCTCAGGCACCTTGGGTCTTTGTATTCACACTGCTCTGGATATCAATGGATGGGTGTGGTAGAGGGGACATTATGGGCAGGAATTTCAACATCCTAGCTAGAAGGGATCCGCTGTGTCTTTAAAAAAAAAAAAAAACATTTATTTTATTTTTATTGGAAAGGCGGACATACAGAGAGGAAGATCTTCCATCCGATGATTCACTCCCCAAGTGAGCACAACGGTCGATGCTATGCCAATCCAAAGCCAGGAGACTCTTCCGGATCTCCCGCAGGGGTGCAGGGTCCCAAAGCCTTGGGCGGTCCTCGACTGCTTTCCCGGGCCACAGGCAGGGAGCTGGATGGGAAGCTGGGACTGCTGGGATTAGAACCAGCGCCCATATGGGATCCCGGGTGTGCAAGGAGAGGACCTTTAACCACTGTGCCATCGCGCCGGGCCCTCCACTGGGTCTTGACAGAAGTCCTTAGTGGCTGGCATGGGTTGGAAGGGCAGGGGCTTCTTGGGGGCTTTTCCCGAGTGTTCATGGCCTGGGCCCGCACGCCCCGTGGACGCTGCAACTTCTGGAAGTACCCAGAGAGGGCCACAGCAGGCTGAGGCAAAGCTTTGGGAAGGCAGCAGCAGAGACGGTGCAGTGACAGATGCGGAAGTGGCCAGGGATCCCTGTGAAAGGTGCTGCCTGGGAGGAATGCTCTGCCCGAGCAGTTGCTCTCTGGCGTGGTGAAACGGTGGTAGCTACAGGCGTTCGGGGACCTGCATTACCTGCAAGTGGATTTCACTCTGTCAATAAAACCTAGTAAGAACACACATCGATAGGACAGGGAATAGCCCAGGTTCACAGGAGAGCTAGGGTGCCCTGTCACCCATAGAAGATCACAAATGGCTTGTGGGGAGCACAAGCCTTCCGGTGGCCCTCCGGTTCCGGTCTTCTTCAAGGCTGGGGGACTTGCCCCATGTTAGGACCAAATGACCCTCCTTTGTCTGTCCTGGGTCAGCCTGACAGCAGGGGCCACAAGAGGTGGCTGGGGAAACTCAGGAGCAGTGTTGGCAGAACCAGAAATGCAGATTTTCCTAAGTTTTCTATTGAGTTTTTCTCCCCTCTGCCCATTTTTATGTATTGCTTTGAGAGGCAGAAAGCCCTCTGTGCTGGTGGGCTCCCCAGATGCAGCTCAAGGCAGGGGCTGGGAGCTCACTTTGGCGGGGACCCAGCTGCGTCCATGCTCACCGCTGCCCACGGGGGCCTGTACTAGCTGGAAACTGAAACAGGAAAGGGGACCCACCATGTCTGCTAGATGGGATGTGGGAGTCCAGGCTGCTATGGCCAGAGCCTTCTCTTGTCCTAGATTTTTTTGTTTAGGATTTACTCATTTACTTTAATTCAGAGAGAAAGAGGAAGGGAGAGACAGAAAGATCTTCCACATGGCCACAGTAGCCAGAGCTGGGCTGGTCTGAAGCCTGGAACCAGGAGCTTCTTCTGTATCTCCTATGCAGGTGCAGGGGCCCAGGAATTTGGCCCATCTTCCACTGCCTGTCAAAGCCGGAAACAGGGAGCTGGATGGGAAGTGGAGCAGCCAGGACTTGAACTGGCACCCATATGGGATCTGGTGCCACTGGCAAATGGTTAGCCAGATATGCCATTCCAATGGCCCTCTTTTCTTGGACCCTGGGAAGTTGGCAGTCCGTAAGGATAAAAGCAGAAACTCTGCTTGGCCCAAATGCAGACTGAATATCACTTATCTGAAATGCTTGGGGTCAAAAGTATTTTGGATTTATTTATTTTTTTTCATACTTACAATTGAGGGTAAAAAAGTTTGTGGGAAATAGAATTTAAAAAGTGGTTTCCTGCAAAATTTTATTGAAATCCATACTGTACTGGAGATCTTTAAAATGTTATGAAAAAATGTCTATTGGAAGAACCTGCACAGATTTCAAAAAAGTTTTTCAAAAGGTTTATTTTATTTATTTGGAAGTTAGAAAGTGGGATCTTTCATCAGCTGGTTTCCTCCCCAAATGGCCACAAAGGCTGGGGCCGGGCCAGGCTGAAGCCAGGGGCCCAGATCTTCATCCAGGGCTCCCACTTGGGCTATCACCTGGTGCCGTCCCAAGTGAGTACTGTACCATGGGACTGGGTTCTCTGCACACAGATTACCGGCACAGCAGTCTGTGGCTTTACCCTTTATGCCACAACCATGGAGCCTCAAAAATAGTTTGCACCAAAACAATAGTTTGCACCAAAGCAACTTGTCTTTTATTTCTGTTTCCTGTGAACTTTTGACATACCCCAGTGTAGCACTGATTGTCCACCTGGGTGATTTGCCCTCTGCCCACCCCTCCACAAGGGACTCGAGGCAATCTCTGGAGACATTTTGTGGTCAGAGCAGGGTGGGGGGGGGGTGCATGGAACAGTGCCCCCACTGTCTGCCCACAGCCGAGTTCCCCATAACCCTGGGATGCCTGTGTCCTTGTCTGGGTCCCTTTTCTGTGTGTCCAGCTCACACCGGGCTTCTGGGCGGGCCCAGGGCAGGCTCCTGATTGGTGCTGTCCCTCTCAGCATGGAAGCGCACCTCCATCAGTCTCACTCCACCCAGCTCCCTTCCACCCCCGGCACCTGCTGTGTGGACTCCAGGCTGCTCCCACTGCGGCTGGCGAGGACCTTCTGTTGGCTCACGTAGGACGTGGTCCCGATCAGAATGCTGGAAATGGAGGCTGGGATCATGGCCTCCTGTGGTTGGCATCTCGGGCTCCTGCCCGGTTGACCTGTTTTGTTGACCCTGCTGCATGAGATACTCCCTCTGGGGGGCAGTGGCCTCCGTGCTGTCAGGGTGGAAGTGGGAGCCCAGCCTTGCCTGGCACCAGTGCCTCTGGTGGGCAGCCCTGCCATGCCCCCGGCTACTGCCGGCCTGTGCTGCTCACAGAGCCGGTCCCCATCTTTCCCCTGCCCTTCCGTTACCATGGGACTCAGCTGTGCAAGCTGCTTCTGGTTCTCGCAGAGAGAGGGAGATGGAGGCACCAAAATATTTCCAGGTCTTTCTTTCGAACATCTGAGCAACATCTTGCTCTCTGCGGGGCGGCTGGCTCTCCCCCTGCCTGCCACGTGCACCTGTGCAGACAGGTCTCTGGGAGCCACTTTTCTCAGGCCCCGCAAACATGCACATGTGTGTGAACACACACGTGGCTTTGCGTGTTGAGTGCCAAGATGAATCTGCTTGCTTTGCAAACCCTCATTGGTGGTAGTGGGGGTCGCTCCCTGGAGTGACCTAAGGAAGAACCATTTGTTAAACTGGGGTACTTGGTTGTTTCTGGTCCCTGGTGAGTGGGTTGGGGGCACTCTGGAGGGGCTTAGTTTTAGCTGTGCAGGGTCAGGGCTGCCCCTACTGGGTGAACAAGAGGCTGCATGCAAGGGAAGGGCTGGCTCCCATGCCTCAGTCTCTCCCCTTGCTGTAAGGTGCACAAGCTGTCTGGAAGGCCTACTGGTCTTCCTCCTTCCCACCCTTCCGAGTTTGAGCCTCAGCCTTAGTCTCCTGGGACATAGATGCGAGGGCCCTCAGGGCGCTCTCAGGTCCTCTGCTCTGGGCTGGAATGAAAAGCCACATGCGGGCCGCACTCACTGTTGCTTTGTTGCTGTGTCCGAGGTTGGGTGGGGCTGAGTCCCCCGGGTGGAGCCATCCCAGAAGTGGTGAGATTGTCCGTTTTCAACACTAAGCAAGGCAGGCATTCCTGGACAGACAGGTGGAGCTGCCTGTCACATGCACATGGCTACTCCCTCTGTCACCGCATGCCTTTGAACGGGTGATGGTGTTGAAGTGGATAAGAACACAGTGTTTCGGCTTTGCACCTGCTGTGGGAGGGCCCGCCTGGGTGGCCAGTCTCCGGGTACCTGGTGTGGGAGGACCCGCCTGGGTGGCCAGTCTCCGGGCACCTGCCTCACGAGGGCATGATGGTGTCTTGCAGACCGCAGCAAAGCTGAGATGGACTTGGAGGAGCTCAGCGAGGCGGTGCAGCAGCAGGCTGCCCCCGCGCCCCTCACCTCGCCCAAGCGGCAGATCCGCAGCAGGTTCCAGCTCAACCTCGACAAGACGATTGAGAGCTGCAAGGCACAACTGGGTATGTCACCCGGGCCAGGCGGGGGCCGCTTCTGTTTAAAACTTTGTTTGTAAAAAAAACTTGTCTTGTAAAAAAAACTTGTCTTTTATGTGATTCCTACAGAGAGCTGCCCTCAGCTGTTTCACTCTCCACAATGCCCGCAGTGGCTAGGTCTGGGACTCGGCTCTAAGCTGGGTCTCCCACGTGGGAGATGCAGACATCTCAGCTGGCATTAATTTTTTTTCTTCCTTTCCCACTTCCTGGTCCAGGCAGCATTGGCCTGGACGATGGTGGCCAGGTGTGTGAAGCGCTGACGTGACACACGGAGCTGTGGTCAGGGTGAATGGTGCCTGTTCGTGCTGCTCTGTGTGTGAGGCACCTGCTCGTTTCTGCTTTGAAGTGACACTTTAGGTGGAGCTACAGTGGCATTGCCACAGCAGGGCAGGGTATGCCAGGCACCTGAGCTGCGTGGAGACCTCATGCTCTGGTCACCTTGAGGGGCTGGTAGCTGGCTGGCTGTGGTCTACCAGCACCACACCTTCTGTTCTTTAGCCACAGCTCTTGATTTCTGGGTAAAATTTCCCTACTGGTGAACAGAGCAACACACTCTACATTTAGAGTATTAAAAGCAAACAACAGAATATGTTTGGGACAGACCACTGCTTCTGGAATGTTCCATGCTCTCCAGGCTGCTGGGCTGAAGTTGGCATCCTGCCCTTGAAGCTCTGGCTTGCTTCTTGGAGCCCTGTACCAAGAGTCAAGGGCCTTGAACACTTAGGGAAGAGGGCCGGTATGAGTTTGGAGTCCAGGGACCGGCCAGGCTTCTGTTTTTGTGCTGAGGCCTCTATTTTCTCATCTGTAAATTGGGTTGCTTAGTACAGCCCATGTGTAGGGAGTTTGGTTGCTAGGCGCCCCCACACCAGATCCTGCTTGAACCCACCAGGCCAATGTGATGTGTTTGGTGTGGCAAGCGCTTGCTGTGTCTGTGTTGTAGCCACACCACATGCTGGGCTTCTTGTTTTGAACACAGGCATCAATGAGATCTCCGAAGATGTCTACACGGCCGTGGAGCACAGCGATTCGGAAGATTCGGAGAAATCAGATAGCAGCGACAGCGAGTACATTAGCGACGAGGAACAAAAGCCCAAGACCGAGCCGGAGCCCACAGAGGACAAGGAGGCCGGTCGGGGGGACAAAGAGCCGGCAGCTGTCAAAAAAAAGCCCAAGGTCGCCAACCCGGTGGAGGTGAAGGAGGAGGAGCCGAAGAGCGCGTCTCCGACCCCCGAGAAGGCCGACCCCGCCGCCTCAGCCAAGGACAAGGCCAGCCCGGAGCCCGAGAAGGACTTTGCTGAGAAAGCAAAGCCCTCGCTTCATCCCACCAAGGACAAGCTGAAGGGGAAAGACGAGACGGATTCCCCGACCGTGCACCTGGGCCTGGACTCCGACTCGGAGAGTGAACTCGTGATAGACTTAGGAGACGACCATTCTGGGCGGGAGGGGCGGAAGAGTAAGAAGGAGCCCAAAGAGCCATCCCCCAGGCAGGAGGGTGAGTGAACGGGTGCCCTTCCGCCTCCTTCGAGTTCGCCTTGTGTCTGTATCATCCAAGTAGGCACCACCCTCTGGGGCTGCGGGGGAGGCTCTACGAAGCTGTGCTCCCAAGTTAGCCTGCGGAACCAAGACTTACCTGTAACCCCTGCTCAGAGTAATTATTTTAAAGAGTTTCAGTGTATGTGAAAGGCAGTGTGTGTGTGGGGGGGTGAGGGGTGTTTTCCATAAGTTGACTTCCTCCTCAAATGGCGGTATAGGGCTGGACCAGGCTAAAGCCAGGAGCCTGGAACATTGTGTGAGTGGCCAGGGCCCAGACACCCGGACCAACTGCCCACTGCTTTTCCAGGAGTTACCAGCAGGGAGCTGTGAGGTGGCCTCTGTTCCCTAGGGTCATGTGCTCCTGCGACACACCTGCACGCTTTCTCTCTGGCCATGCCCCTTCCCCTTCTGGATAAGCTTTGCAACCCCTTGATAAGGATTTGCAGCCATGAAGCAAGGTGAAAGGCACTAAATGGGAAGGAAAGGAGGGGGCATGGGGAGAGAGGTGTTTCCAGAAAGATGTGCCAGCTTCAGTGCTGCTGGAGTTGGGTTCCCTTTTTGGCTCCTGAGTTTCCAAGCCTTGAAAGCAGATAAGGGACATGGTTGCTTTAAAGGGTTTCATTGTGTTCTTCCCCAAATAAAAGGCATCGCATTTGATTAAAGCACTGGTATCCGCAGGAAATTGCTCAGGAAGGAGGGCTGAGTAGTGGTGGCCTCCTGAAGCTGGTGGTAAAACCAGAGCTCAGCCTGAGCAGTTTCCCAAGGCTCGGGGCGGAATGTGTGTGAGAGGCAGAGCTCCCTGGGCAGCGTTAGGCCTGCAAGAATTGCCCTCACGTCAGGGTCTGCTGACTTTCTCAGCCACCACCTTTAGCTTCTGACTTTGGGAATGTGACAGCGTGGGAGGCTTCCCTGGGGCCAGGAATCCAGTGTGCGTGCAGTGTGGAGCTTTAGGTAGTTACGATGCTGGCAGAGCAGGTGCAGTGAGCTCACCTAGGAGACCCCTGGCTGGGCTTGCCTCGTCCTGTCAGCAGGTTCCATTCTCCCCCCAGCGACACTCCTGGTTCCCTGCATGTACCCATCACAGACCAGTGACTGCTTCTGAAATACCAGGTTAAGCTGGTGGGACAACTTCTGAGGGCAATTTTAAAAAGATTTATTTATTTTTATTGGAAAGTCAGATATACAGGGAGTGGGAGAGACAGAGCGGAAGGTATTTTGTCTTGCTGATTCACTCCCCAAGCGGTCGCAACGGCCGGAGCTGCGCGGATGCAAAGCCAGGAGCTTCTTTCTGGCCTTCCATGCGGGTGCAGGGTCCCAATGCTCTGGGCTCTGCTTTCCCAGACCACAGGCAGGGAGCTGGATGGGAAGTGGAGCATCCAGGACACGAACTGGCATCCATATGGGATGTTGGCACTTGCAGGGTGAGGATTTAGCTGTCCTGCCAACCAGCTATTCCGTCTCCCCCCATAGTTCAGCTGCTCAGAGAAGCCCGCCTCCATGTGTCAGGGACTTTGGCCCTTGAGTCCACTGGACCCCATCACACAATAGGAAAGGCAGTTTTGTGGGCTACAGGTGGACCACCAGGGGCATGACCCAAACAAAGTGAGTACTGTAGCAAAGCCATTGATGCCTGGCTCAATGCTGCCTGTTGCCGGAGGGTTCTGGCCTCGGGACTTGCCGGGTCACGGGTCAGGGCTGTCGGCACCACCACGCTGAGACTTTGTCCTGAGGGGAACTGGAAGATGGGAGAAGGGCTGCTTTTCTTTTTTTTTTTTTTTAAGATTTATTTATTTTTATTGGAGGAAGATCTTCTGTCCTATGGTTCACTCCCCAAGCGGCTGCAACTGCCAGTGCTGAGCCAATCTGAAGCCAGGAGCTTCTTCCAGGTCTCCCACATGGATGCAGGGTCCCGAGGCTTTGGGTCATCCTCGACTGCTTTCCCAGGCCACATGCAGGGAGCTAGATGGGAAGTGGGGCAGCTAGGATTAGAACTGGCTCCCATATGGGATCCTGGCACATTCAAGGCGAAGACTTTAGCAACTAGGCTGTCATGCTGGGCCCAAGAAGGGGTACTTTTCTTACAGGGGAGCTTGATGTAGCAGCTGGCTGTTAAGGGCCATAGGAGCCTGAGCGTCCATGTTAGTCAACTCTCATCCTGAACCTGCGTCTCTGGATTGACCTGGGGGTGTCTCTTGAGTACCTAACACCACATTTAGACCGTGAACAGGCACTCGGACTGAGTGGTGCCGTTCACCCAGTGCTGTGTCTCGGTGAGGTAACAGTGACGCTGGGCTCTCTGTCCAGGCTGCACATGGCGCTGCCGAGGGTTGTCAGCACTCCTCATTTCGGTTGGCTTTCTCCCCAGGAAGTGCCACCAGCCAGGGTCCAGTGCCACCAGCCAGGGTCCAGTGCCACGGGTCATCTATTTACCTTTGTGTCTCCCATGTCGGTTTTAGTCGTAGGTAAAGCGCCACCCTCCACCACAACAGCAGGCAGCCAGTCTCCCCCAGACACGCCGGTGCTCACCCGCTCTTCCTCCCAAACCCCCACGGCTGGTGTTACAGCCACCACCAGCGCGACATCCTCTGTGACCGTCACCGCCCCGTCCACCGCCACTGCCACCACCTCCACCAACACTGCCGCCACCACGGCCACCGCTGCCGGAAGCCCGGTGAAAAAGCAGAGGCCGCTCTTACCGAAGGAGACTGCCCCGGCTGTGCAGCGGGTCGTGTGGAACTCCTCAAGTAAGTTTCAAACGTCCTCCCAAAAGTGGCACATGCAGAAGATACAGCGGCAGCAGCAGCAGCAGCAGCCCGGCCAGCAGCCTCAATCTTCCCAGGGGACGCGATATCAGACCAGACAGGCTGTGAAAGGTACCGCGCCTCCCTCTGTGCTCGGGGCGCCCGCCCCCCCTTTGGGCCACGTTGGCAGAAGTGCCATGACCTTTTTTTTTTCTCCCCCATTCAATTTCTTTCCTGGCCCCTCCTTCAAACCCACCCACACAATGCCTTTGCACATTCCATTTGACATTATTTTTAAAAATTGGTTTACGACTTTTTTTAATTGAAGAAACTCCCTCCCCACTTTGTAAATGATATTGCCTTGGGAGCGGACGGGCTGTTCACGTCACAGTTTGTCCCTTCTGGTCCTCCTTCCACTGCCCCCTCCTCCATCCCTTGGTGGCCACCGGGGACTGTTTAAAATCCTTTCCTGTGCGTGCATGCATATATATTTCTATGTAGGGTGTTAAGAAAATATTTTTCCTTTTTTTTTTTTTTTGTTAAGTGTCAAAATGGTTCCCTCTGTGGTTTTTTTGTTTTTTGTTTTTTTCCTTTTTCATCCATCCGCATGTTTTGGAGGTCCTTCGAGTCCTGCCAGATTTCTTTTGGACTGCTGCGTAGTATTCCTAGTGCTTGAAAGCTTTTTTCCCCCTCCTGAAGCGGTTGCTTACAGAACGCTTCCCCAGTGGGCCTCAAACAAACAGGGCTCCCACGCGTGTTTTCCTAGTGGACTTGGGTGGGCCTTTTGATGATATTTTGGGAAGTGGTACAAAGGTTGCCTTAGACACAGGGGTGGGGTTTGTCAGGTACAAAAGAGGTGTCAGTTTCAAGAACCACTTATGAAAGCTGTACTATCAATAGCCCATCTGCCCCCCACCGCCTTTGCAGGGGAACAGGATGCCCCATCTGTAGCCAATCAGGTCCAGACGCTTCTGGGCCGGGGGATGCCGGGCGTGCGCAGCTGGAGCGGATCTCCCAGCGCGGGCTGGCCGCGTGCGCGCCCGTGGGGCCCGGGCTCCGGGTCGGACTCCTCCAGGAAGGGCGCGCCAGTAGGCGGAGCCCTGGAGGAGCCGCGGGAGGCGGACGCGGGGCCTGCGAGTCGCCACACCCGCTGACCTCCGCCTGGGGGTCACCTCGCAGGGATTTGGGTGGGGCGGCTGACCCCGAGGGCTTGGGTGGGCGTGCACCGGCAGCGTCGGCGCAGCGCCCTTGGCTAGAACCAGCCGAGCGGAGGAGTGAATCCGGCGCGCGCTGGCTCTCGGGATCGCGGCGTCCACCATTCTGCCTTCATGCGCTCCCGGCGTTCTGGGCGCCCTCCCCGAAGGGGTGGCGGGGCTGCCAGGAAGGGACCGGCCGGCCGGGGCGAGCGCTATGGCACCCCGAAGCCTGGCGAAGGTGGTCAGGGCAGGTTTCAATCAGACGGCGCTAGTAGTGGATCGCCTGGTGGAGTATGGGGTTTGTACAGACGCGAGGAGGAATGAGGGCGTTTTGGGGAGTGGATTCCTAGCGGTTAGAGCCGCAGGGAGAGGCTGGGACCACCTTTTGGGCTTGCTAACAGGTTCTTAACGGTGCTCACCCCTTCTGTGGAGCCTGGAGGCTTCAGGTGCCGTCTGCAGCAACATGTAATTTGGGAGCCAGGCTTGAGTGCTCCCTGGCAGGCTCTGGCAGCAGCCGGGGTCAGCCGAGCAGGTGCCCGTGGCCTCTTGGAGGCTGTGGGTGTTTGAGTCCTCGGTGGGCAGCTCGAGGAGAAGGGGCAGCAGTGAGCCTGACCCGAGCTTGCTGGCGGAGAATCTTGTCTCGAGGGCGGGCAGGTTCTTGGGGGCACCTTTCCCTGCAGCGTGGGGGTGACCCAGTTCCTTTGCTTCCTCAGCTGTCCAGCAGAAGGAGATCACGCAGAGCCCGTCCACGTCCACCATCACCCTGGTGACCAGCACCCAGGCGTCACCCCTGGTCACCAGCTCTGGGGCCTCCAGCACCCTTGCGTCTTCGGTCAGCGCCGACCTACCCATCGCCACCGCCTCCGCGGATGTGGCCGCAGACATTGCCAAGTACACGAGCAAGGTGAGTGACCACAGGCGGGGACCGGGAAGTGTGCTCCGGGAGTCTCCCAGGGTGGGTTTATTTGGGTCTAAGCTGCCCCTTGAAAGAAATGGGGTCCAGATTGCAGGAGAACCTGCGTTTTTGAAAACAACGTTTAGTCTTACATATGTGAAAGGCAGACAGAGTAGCTGTATTTCCCATATGAGCTGTTGCCGGGCTAGAACTAGGAGCCTTGTGGGTGCCGGGGACCTCAAGCGCTTGAGCCAGCACCTGCTCAGAATGGGCAGCAGAGAAGGATGCTTGGACTCGGACACTCCTCTGGGATCCAGCTATCCCCAGCAGGTCTAAACTGCCGCCCCAGTGTCTGCCCCCATCTCTGCCACTCAAAGTATTCCTCCAGTGTAGGAAGGACCGGCTGTTGTGTGGTGAGCTGGGAGAGGCATTGGAAACCCTGAGGAAGAAAAATGGCAGATAACCTGAGCACAGCGCACTGCCCAGGCCTGGTGCCCACTCCTGGCACAGTGATTTTTTTAAAACCCTGGGAGCTGCGGTGGCTGGGGGACGGCCAGGCACTGCTGCCCAGGGTGTGTTTTGGTTAGTGGCGTGGCAGCCAGGGTTGCTGGCCGTGCAGGTTCTCGGCACCCTCACACTGGTTCTGTGTTGTTTTGTGTTGTCTGTGGGAGTCAGGAAAAGACTCAGGGTTCCCCTGGGCGATGTTTGGGGGTCTTGGAGTGGCCAGCAGGTTGTTATCCATTGACCGTCCCAAGTAGGATCTGTCTGCCTTGTTCACGGAGGTCTAGAACAGGGCCTTGGCCACAGTGGGCACTTGCTGTGTGGTTGTGTTTGCCCAGCTGTCTCTTCTTTGGGTTTGTTTTTGTCAATTCCTTCATCATGGCCTCGATGTGACTGGAGGGGTACCGGTGGCTACACAGCGTTCTCACAATGACACGCTGAGGGAGTCGGTACTGTTGACCCATTCCACAGAAAACGGAGGCCCAGGATGGTCATGCAGTGTGCTGGGGGCCCGGCGGCCCATGGCTGCCTCACCCGGGGCCGTGGTGGTCGTGGCCGGGACTCTCGACCTGGCATGGAGCTGCCTTGTGAGTCCAGAACTAGCCTGCCGGCCACCGCGGTGCGGTACCCTCAGGCGGACTTGGTTGTCATGTTGCTGCTGCTTTTTTTTTTTTCTTTCTTAAGGTTTACTTTATTTTTATTGGTAAGTCACATTTTACAGAGAGAAGGAAAGACAGAGAAAAAAGATCTTCCATCCGCTGGCTCACTCCCCAAGTGGCTGCAAAGGCCAGAGCTGAGCTGATCTGGAAGACAGGAGTTTCTTCTGGGTCTCCGTGGGTGCAGGGTCCCAAGGCTTCAGACTGTCCTTGGCTGCTTTCCCAGGCCACAAGCAGGGAGCCAGAAGGGATGTGGAACAGCCAGGACCTGAACCCGTGTTCATATGGGATCTTGGCGCTTGCAAGATGAGGATGTAACTACTGGCTTATTGCTTGTCCCTTGTGTGGCCGACCATCTATATGGTCCAAGCCGTGTATTCATGGTGAAGTGGGGGCCTTTGTTTGGCATGGCCAGTGGATTGCCCAAACCCTGTTTTCCCAGCTCCTGGCATCGTTGAGTTGCCCACTACCGCCCTTGGGAGAGCTCTTTTGGTAGATGTGTTCTTGGCGGGGTTGGGGGAGCTGGTAGACTCCCTGTCTGTAAGGAAGCTTGTGGGGGCCCAGGAGTGTGTGTTGGCACGAGGGCCCACTTTGTGATGGCTGAGCTCTTGGCTGTATTTGGAAGTCAGAGCCAAAAGGCCAGGCCACACATTTGTGGTATCTGTACCATGGAATGCAACCCCTGTGTCAGTAATGTCCACTTTCTGAAGCTTTCTTGTAAAACAGTCTCATTTTAACGTTTTGAGTTGACATGGTTGGGGCAGTGGTTAGTGAGGAGACCCATAAAAATGTCCTGGTCTTCACGCGACACGAAGCTCTGAGTGGTTCTGCTGGCCGCAGGCCACAGTGGCCTGTGCAGTCAGCTGTAGCAGAAATCTCAACTGGTTCCGTCTTGGGGTGAATTAGGGGTTACTGTTTCGGGGGTTTGGCAGTGGTAACGCTGTCACGTGCTCATGTGACTTTTTGTAAAAACAAGGTGAACAAGGATTTCTTCCTGAGCCCCTGTCAACTTGTGGCCTGTTTTCTCATATAATTTTTGAGCATGCTTTATAAGGGCGTTCTTTTATTCTGGTAGGTTTTTTTTTTTAATGTTTCTTGGGTGTCAAGGCTGGGATGGGGCAGGCAGAGAGCTCTCGCACCTACTGGTTTGCTTCCTAAAAGGCTGTGATGGCAGGGACTAGGTTGGATCCTGGAGGGGAATACTTAGTCCAGGTTGCCAGGTGTGTTCCAGGAACCCCGGGTGCTGGAGGCATCATTGCTGCCTGCTTGGGCGTGCCCTATGAGGAAGCTGCAGCCAAGAGCTGGAGCAGGGAGTTGAACCCAGGAAGTCCTGTAAGGGATGCTGTTGCCTAGTGACCGTCTCCATGCCTGCTCCCTGTGCTTGGTTCTTTTTTTTTTTTTTTTTTTAAAGATTTATTTATCTATTGGAAAGTCAGATATACAGAGAGGAGGAGAGACAGAGAGGAAGATCTTCTGTCCAATGATTCACTCCCCAAGTGAGCGCAATGGCCGATGCTATGCCGATCCGAAGCCAGAATCTAGGAACTTCTTCTGGGTTTCCCATATGGGTGCAGGGTCCCAAGGTTGGGCCATTCTCGACTGCTTTCCCAGGCCACAAGCAGGGAGCTGGATGGGAAGTGGGGCTGCCGGGACCAGAACCGGCGCCCATATGGGATCCCGGCGCGTTCAAGGCGAGGACTTTAGCCGCTAGGCCATGCCGCCGGGCCCCCTGTGCTTGGTTCTTAAGTGGGAAATGGAGATGCAGAGAGAACAAGGATGCTAAATCACATGGAGAACCTGCCAGGGGGCTTCTGTGTCCCCCAGTGGCTCAGGTGTCTGGGACACGTAGCCATGCCGAGGACCAGGTAGGGGTTCTGAGCCTGTGTCCTGGGCTTAGGAGAGCAGCCTGCTGGCAGGTGGGTTGATTCTCATCCCGTAAGTGCATTTGGCCAGCAGTTGGGGGTCGGTTGTGTGGCCCATGGCTGGTGGCTTCCGGGGTCAGACAGTAAAGGAGGCAGGAGGACAGGAAGTGACCTGGAAGTGTGGGGCTGCCATGTCCACATCTGTGATCATACACTCAGAGCATAAAGCCCTCACGCGAGCTGCTCCCCCAAACCTGAAGCAGGCCACTCCCTCCCCTAAGACTCCTTGGGCCAGATTAGGTAGATCCTTGGAGACTGAAGGCTGGGGGAAGGGCCCTGGGGGAGGGGACAGGAGTGTGTGGTGAGGGGATGATGACTGAAGCGGGGAGTGGGTGACAATGGGTGTTTAACTCTGAATATGCCTGAAGACCTAGGATGGTACCTCTCTGCTTTCATTGGGTAAATTGTATGGTGTCCGTATTGCAGCTCCGGAAAATAGTGATTTCTTAAATGGCAAAGAATTAAAATCCCAGAAACAACAGAATAAACCAACAAAGCAGTCCCTTCTTCATACCTGCTGTGTTGGCCTGTAAATGAACAAATCTCCCCTTCCCTACATACAAGTGGGTGCCAGGCCAGGCCTGTCCAGTGGTGCCTGTAAGATGAGACTGGCTCTCCTGGCCTTGAGCTCCCAGTGTGCGGCTGACTCCCAGCTGGCACCTGTGACCCGGGCTGACTGCCCGCGTGTGCTCCCCGGAGTGCCGAGCCACGTTGCTGGACCTGCTCACCCATGCCGGGGCCCTCGGCTGGCCCGCCCAGGGATGCCCCCCTGGCTTGGGAGGGGCAGAAGGCTGCCGGCTAAATACCCCCACGCTGTGCCAAGCCTCGGGGAAGCCATCTCCTGAATGTTTTTTTATCTTTCAGATGATGGACGCCATCAAAGGAACGATGACTGAAATCTACAACGATCTCTCCAAAAACACTACCGGAAGCACAATCGCCGAGGTCAGGGTGCCATGTGACTTCCTTTCTTTGTGAGAGTGTGTTCCTTGGGACTGTCAGGAGGGGGCAGCCGTTCCTGCAACCCCTCTCCTGTCAGGTGCCGGCTCTGGTCCCTGCGCCTGCCCTCCCCGGGAAGCCCTGCCTGAGGTCTGGCCTTGCTCTCTTGAATGTGTGGCTGTGGCTGGGGTGTTTGTTAGCTTGAGGTTGAGGCTGTGCAGACATACTCTGCCTTGTCGGGTCAACTGCTCACGCCATGGCAGCAAAGAGCAGAGCCGGAGTTGGACCCACGGGCAGAATAGGACTCTGGTTATGTTGCCCCTAGGAAGCAGGAAGCTGGAACTTGGGTTACTAAGCAGTCCCTGCATGGAAGTTGGCGTCTTGCCTAGGAAAGAGCGTAGGCCAACCGCCCACCTACAGAGTGGCCGCCTGCAGCTGCAGCCACGACGGCTGGGCGAGTGGGCGCTGCAAGGCTGCTCTGGGTGGAGGGCCTGGGTGGCCAGGTGTCAGTTGGTCCCCAGGTGGGATGGCAAAGGGCCCGATCCCCAAGGTCACCCAAGGCCGTGTGGGAGAACTGTGGCCCCGCCCTGCAGAAATGTTAACCTCTGTGGGTAAGGTAACGTTGGCCCGCAGTCCCCAATGGAAAAGGGCTGTCTCCAGCCGAGGACGTTGTCAGCATGCAGGTTTGTGAGTGGCCTGAGAGAAGGCGCTAGCTCATGGCCTCTCTGTCCAGGTGACTGTTCATGCTTGAGCTGGAGACATCAAGGCTGTCTCGCTCTCGCTCTCTCGGAGGGAGACAGAAGGAGCTCTTCCCTCTGCTAGCTGACTCCCTAGATGCTGGTAGCAGCTTCAGTTGAGTCAGGCTGCTGCCAGGAAGTCCGCCTGGATCTGGCACGGGGTCATGAGGGCCCCCCTGGGGTGTGCCAGCAGGAAGCTGGGCCTGGGGGTGGAGTTGGGACTCAGATACAGGTCAAGAGCAGTCATTCTGAGCTGTGACCGAACCACCGAGCCAAGCACCCATCCTGCTGTCCCGTCCTGTTTGTTCTCTTAATTGCCGGCCCTAGAAAGCAGCACCCAGGAGGTGTCCCTTGAAACCTTCGGCCCAGCGGCATCCTGGAGCTGTGGACTAGAGTGAGAGAGCGTGCAGCCCACAATGGCCATGCCTTCTGCAGGCAGAAAGGGCTGCGGTTCCTGCATGGGAGACGTGGCCGATTCATAGAGAAGGAAAGACCGGAAGATCTTCCTTCCATCCACTGGTTTACTCCTTAAGACAGCCATGATGAACTCAGCTGAGTCGATTGGAAGCCAAGAGCTTCCAGGTCTCCCGTGTGGGTGCAGAGTCCCAAGGCTTTGGGCCGTCCTCTGACAGTTTCCCAGGCCACAAGCAGGGGGTTGTGCGGGAAGTGGAGCAGTTGGGATATGAACTGGTGCCCATATGGGCTGCCAGCCCTGTAGGATGGGGCTTAGTGTGCTGTGGCCCAGCACTGGCCCCAAGATAGTGTTCTGGACTTAAGCTATGGGAGTGTGTGCCGAAGATAATCCTGTTATGTTGCGGCCGGTCCCATGTATTGTGGGCTGTGTAGCAACATCCATGGCTTCTGCCCACTGCTGCCAGGGTGCTGCCCATTTGTGACAGAGTGACCCCAGACTTCATCATTGCCGTGGAGGCAGATCGCCCAGCCAGTGGGAAATAGCCTCACGTCCATGCCAGTTGAGCCTGTTGTTTCCCGTTCTAGTGCGTGTGACCCCCTGCTTGCTTAGGCCACCTCGCCCTGACCCCTTGCTCTGGTTTTCAGAAGTGTTTGCCCTCAGAGGGGCTTTCACTGATGCCAGCATTGCCTGGAACAGATGCCCAGGTTCAGTGTGGCTTTCCAATCCAGGGGTCTCACGGGTTTGCATGAATCCGCAGGTGGCCACCTCTCTGAGCGGCACTCGGCGTAGGGCCAGCTGCCTGGGCCGGCCCCGGCGCCGAGCGTGGGGGCCTGGGCAGTGAGCAGCCGTGGATGACGCTTCTCTCCTTCCTTCAGATCCGCAGGCTGAGGATCGAGATTGAGAAGCTGCAGTGGCTGCACCAGCAGGAGCTCTCGGAGATGAAGCACAACCTGGGTACGACCTGACCACGTGGGCATCCCTGGCCTCTGCTGCCCGGCCTGGCTGTGCCTGTGGGCATCCCTGGCCCCCACTGCCCTGCCTGCCTGTACCCCATGGGCATCCCTGGGTCCCTGCTGCCTGGCATGGCTGTGTGCCATGGGCGGCTGGGTGAGGACATTTAACCAAGAAGCTGGACCTAAAAGCAGGAGTTGGTGGGGGGCCCTCTTCTGCTGTCCGCTTCGTACAGTGAGGTCCACTTTGGGTTTCTCCCGAGATAGTAGCATTGTCAGCGAGAACCATGCTGTGTATCCTGGAGGTTGGCGAGTGCGGGCCACGCATCCCCTCGTGCCAGGCGACCCACTCAGAACTTTCTGTGTTGGGAGGCTCCTAGGGGAAGGGTAGCTGCTGGCTCCTGCCCTTCTGCCCACGGGGGTGAGATCTGTCCCGAGCGTGGTGGGAGGGGCAGAGAGGAGAGACTGGACGTGTCTTCTCCAGAAGGATTTGTTGTGTTTCCCAGGACCTGCCAGCGGCCTTAACCATCCCAAGTCTGACTCAGGAAGTCTCGCCAGAGGGAGCAGTGTGGTAGCAGCCAGCTGTCAGCCTTGTGGCTTGCTGCTGGGTCCTGTGTGCTAGATTTGATCCAGCACCACAGAACACAGAGGAAGGCTCCTCTCTTGTTAGCTGTGTACCTCAATATTCTCATCTGTGAAAGGGGCAGCAAAGCAGAACTTGCCATGTAATAACAACGTAATGGTTGATCAAATCAGTGGAAGTGACTTTATGAAGCACTCCACATAACGATAGATGCGGCAGAAGTATTTTATCCACTAGAAAAAAAATCCTGTGCTGATGACAAAATCTAAAACAAGTTGGGAGTGGCAGTTAGTTGGAGGACATTTGAGGAATTCACACAACGCAATTGGGGATGGAGAACCACCGTGAGGATTTCTGGCTACCCTCCTGCTGGCTACCCCCCTGCTGGCTACCCTCCTGCTGGGTTACCTGTGGTGTGTGCATCCCAGGAGGCTGGTGGGGTCGGTCCCCGGAGTCCCCAGGCTCAGGGAAGCTGCACCCAGAGGCCGCGTGGCTTCCGCTGTGTGTGTGTGTGTGTGTCTGGCCCTGGGCCGGGGTGGCTCATGTCACCGGGGGTGTCCTGCCCACACTCCTGCAGAGCTGACCATGGCCGAGATGCGGCAGAGCCTGGAGCAGGAGCGGGACCGGCTCATCGCCGAGGTAAAGAAGCAGCTGGAGCTTGAGAAGCAGCAGGCAGTGGACGAGACCAAGAAGAAGCAGTGGTGCGCCCACTGTCGGAAGGAAGCCATCTTCTACTGCTGCTGGAACACCAGCTACTGTGACTACCCCTGCCAGCAGGCCCACTGGCCCGAGCACATGAAGTCCTGCACGCAGTCAGGTAGCGGCTGGCACCCACACAGGCCCCAGGCTGTCTGGCACAGAAAGGTCACTTGCCCAGGTCCTTGTCCCTTGAAATCAGCCGTGCGTCTGGCTACCTGAGCAACGGACGCAGGCTCTGGGCTCAGGGCACCCACCCTCCAAGTCTCCCCCATGGGTGCGGGGGCTGTGAGCCATCCTCCACTGCTTTCCCAGGTCACTGGCAGGGATCTGGATGGGAAGTGGAGTAGCCAGGATTAGAACCCAGGGATGCAGGGGCCCAAGGACCAGGACCATCCCCTGCTGCTTTCCCAGGCGCATTAGAAGGGAGCTTTTTGGACAGTGACGCAGCTGAGACTTGAACTTGTGCCCTGTTCGGGATGTTGGCATGAGAACCCGCCTTCCCTGTAGGGATGTCACATCCCATAGTGCTGTGGCGTTTCCCTGAGCTCTGGATCGTCACCCATCCCCACTCACTATGGTTGGCAGCATTTACAGTCACTGTTGGTATAGTTCCATGAAATGTGGATCGCATGCTGTATAGTGCCACCCCATCACTATGTCAGTTGTTGCTCCTGGGCACTCTGGGCAGCTGTCCACCTTGGACCCGCCCTCATGCCTGGTTCTGGGGCTGGGGACTGCTGCCTGCTCTGTGTGGTGGTGGGCTCAGGCTTGGTGCGGGGCCTCAGATGAGGCAGTCAGCCGCCATGTGACTTCTCTCTGTCCCCTTTGCAGCGACTGCTCCTCAGCAAGAGGCAGATGCTGAGGTGAGCACAGAAGCAGCCAGCAAGCCTGCCCAGGGGAGCACCACCAGCACTCCAGCGGCCCCCACCGAGGCAGCCAGCACCCCCAAAGAGAAGGAGACGGTGGCTGAGAAGGGCAAAGATGGCGGCTCGGTGAGCACCCCTGGTCTGGGGCAGTGACTGGAGCCTGCTAGGCCTTTGTCTCCCATGGATGTTGGGGAGCATACAACCTAAGTGGGCAGTGCCAGCCAGTGGAACTTCCTAGTAGGGTCACCAACTCCTGTTGCCCCGGCCACTCCGGGCCGCCCTCTTGGGTGCCTGAAGTGTGGTTGGTGTGAGAAGGGTCTGATTTCTCAGATGTGTTTGATCGTTGTTAATTTCAAATTCCGCGGTCAGTGCTGCTTGCGCTGTGTTTTCTGTTAGCTGCATCCAAAACACAGAGGTCTATGGTGCAATTAGTGAACTTATATTGTTTCAAAGTCTTGAGCCTCTTGGCTGTGGCAAGCATCTGGAGGGTGGGCAGGTTATGGGGAAATCCTGGGGAACGTTCTGGAAGCCGAGGCCCTCAGGGTGCTGCTCCAGCTGCGTTCTAGACTGGGTTTGGGAGCTCAGCAGCAGGTGTGCGACCACGCCAGGCTGGGGGAGGGAGGAGCCGTTGGATGGACACCTTGGGGTGGCCCCAGCACCCCATGGCTGCGCGCTGCCCACGCGGCCCAAGTCCATCTTTGCCCTTCTTGTGTTTACAGACCCTTGACCTTTCTGGCCCCCGAGACACGCCCTCCTCCATCCTCCTCGGCTCCACCCAGGGCTCAGGTAGGTTGTCCCGGTGGCTGCGTGCTGCCTTCCCATGTCCTGGGGCTGTGGTGGCTGCGGTCTGCCCGGGAGACACCATGGGCACGGCAGGGGCACCAGGTCAGGTGTGACTGGGTGAGTCATCTGTCAGAGTCCCTGCAGAAACCCTGCGTTGACTCCGCCCACAGGGAAGTGGCCCAGCAGCCACGCTGGTTTTGGGCTGGGCACACCAGCCTGTGGCGGGGGCAGGTGGTGGTTCGATGCTTCGGTCTTGCTGTAAACCCCTTTCTTTCCTCATGGAGGCCGTTGGCCGGGGACTCCAGGTTCCACTATGGTCTTTTAGCAGCTGGGGTCTGTTCTAGAAAGGGCCACCTTGCTGTCACCTCAGCTCCAGCTTCTGTCCCGGGCTGATTCTCTGCATTTGGAAGCTGGGAGTGGCTGTGTTTAGGGTCCTGGGGGTTTAGGGCAGAAGCCCCCAGCACCGGTCGCTCACATGGCTGGGGCAGGGATGCTGGCCAGGCTCTGACAGGTGGCACGGTGCTGAGAGGCACTGGGGTCCATGGGGGATTTCGCGGAGCTCGTGGAACTGGCGCTGGGCCGCTGGCTCAGGAACTGCCCCGGTCCCCCGCTCGGTGGCTGCCGTGTCTTCTGAGCGGGCAGCTTGCCGCGGGACCTCTGCACCCTGCCCTGCCCTGCGGCTCAGTGGCCACTGCCTTCTGCCCATGCTAATCTCTCTTGGCTCTCCTCCTTTTGGGGTGGTGGTGATCCAGAGTTAGGTTTTCAAGATTAAGTTGAAGTCTGTTTTATTATTCACTTATTTTTAAAGACTTTTTTTTTTGTTTTAATTGGAAAAGCGGTTCTGTTTTTATTGGAAAGGCAGTTTTACAGAGAGGAGGAGAAATAGAGCTTGTATCCATTGGTTCACTTCCCAAATGACCTCAGTAACCAGAGCTAGACTCATCCGAAGCCAGGAGCTGCTTCCTGGGCTCCCGTGTGGGTGCAGGGTCCCAAGAACTTGAACCATCCTCTACTGCTTTCCCAGGCCACGTCTAGGGAACTGGATGGGAAGTGGAGTAACCAGGACATGAACTAGCATCCATCTGGGATGCCAGCGCTTGCAGGTGGGGGATTAGCCTATTGAGCCACCACTCTGGCCCCAAATAGTCAGTTTTAAATATAAACTTGTAGCAAGCAGGTATGGGAGGGTCTTGGGTGGATTACAGCCACACCATAGCAGTTAAGGTCCAGGTCTGTGAACCGCAGAGCCACCTGGTTCACCTGCATTTGCTGCTTGTGTAATGGTGGGGAGTGTGTAGGGTTCGTTGGAATTGGGGTGGTCACCCACAGGGAGGTGTTGGGAAATGCAGCTGAGGTCAGCTAAGTGGTACCTCGCCCCGGGGGATCAGTCAGCAGCCTAGAGTGGAACTGGCGCTGTAGGAGGGAGACGGAAATCCTATCACAAAATTTATTGGAAAGGCAGATTTACAGAGAGGCCTGGAGAGACAGAAACTCTTCTATCCACTGGTTCACTCCCCAAATGGCCGTGTAAGTGAGGAGCCTCTCCAGGTCTCCTATGCAGGCGCAGGGCCCCAAGGCTTTGAGCCGTCCTCGGCTGCTTTCCCAGGCCACAAGCAGGGAGCTGGATGGGAAGCGGGGCTGTCAGGATTAGATCCGGTGCCCCTGTGGGATCCCTGTGTGTGCAGGGTGAGGTTTTACCCTGCTGAGCTATCACGCCGTGCCTTGAGAAATCTCTTTGTTCACTCCCCAAATGGCTCAGTGGTTGGAGCCAGGAACTCTTCCATCTTGGTCTCCCGTGTGGGTGGACAATCCAAACACTGCGCGTTCTGCTGCCCTCGCAGGGAGCTGGATCAAAAATGGGGTAGCTGGGTCCCAGACCGCTGTGGCGAAATGCCAGCCTGGTAGGAGGCACGGTGCAGGCCCATCCCCTCAGCAGCCTGGCAGACCCAACCCCGTTCCCCCAGCTCTGATTCCTCAACCTGTCCACGGGGCCACACCATCCCTGGGCCTGACCTGGAGCCCGTGCTCAGAGCTGGGCCGGCGGCACAGGCGAGCAGCCCAGGGCACACACACGGTCTTGGCCACTACCCTGGTTACTGACTCCGGCCCCTTCCGCCTGGTCCTCATCCCTCCTTGGCTTTCTTCCTTGGCAAGCCGCGCGGCTCTGCGCTCCCCTAAACCCGATTCTGTGAGCCCCATACACTCTGCTTCCCCTCCACCTTCTGCCAGCAGCTCTCAGGCCTCAGCAGTGCTGTGCCGCCTGTGCCCTCAACATCCCCACACTGGCAGGGCAGACCCGCTGGGGTGGGAGCGTGCCTTGCCCGGGCGGTCCAGCTCATCATGTCCCTTCCTCCCACAGATCATTCCCGGAACAGCAAGTCCTGGAGCGGCAGCGAGGAGAAGCGGGCCTCGGCCCGGGCTGAGCACAACGCCAGCACCAGCTCCTCCAGCTCCAGCAAAAGCCTCCTCCCCAAAGAGTCTCGCCTGGACGCCTTCTGGGACTAGAGGCAGATTGTCACGACGGACACCCGGACCCCAGGGACTTGGGAAGCGGCCGTGGGGGCGGGAGAATGACTGACCAAGTGGGCGCCGCGGGCAGCCGACACTACACGCAGCATTAGCTCCCACCAGCCCCGGGCTCTGGATGTAAATATTGTACAGTATGTGGGTGTCGCCGACGCTAGGGCACCTGCCCCTTTTTATATTTGTATGGACCTTAACTTATGAAAAAGAAAAAAGAAGAAAAAAAAAAAACAATGGGGAAAAATGCCCCAGCCACAAAAGGAGGGTTTTGATGTTGGAGAAGGCGTGGGCCCCGGAGGCCCTGGGTCTGCTGCAGCGGGGGGTGCTGTCGCATGGGTTCTGGGCGGAAGAAGCCATTCTCAACTGTCCATCCGCCTGTGGACGCAGCGACTGGGCCTCGGGGGCTGTGACTCAGCGGGCCGTACCACGCTGGTCGACCTCATGTGGCCATGTTGCAGATCCCAGGTTGTCCATGGGAGTGTTTGCGGGGTCAGCTAGAGGAATCTGGGGGATTCCTCCAAGAGCAAACCCACACGACCCTCGCTTACGGGGGTCGGCCATCCCCGCCCAGCCTGGTGGCAGCAGGGCACACACAGTGGCATCGTCCACTCTGAACAGCTGTTTATGGTTCCTCTCCGCACACACACATACGTGTACACACTGGTAACACACATGATCCCAGAGGCCGTGCTGCTGGAACGCAGGAACCCCGGGCCCACTGAGGAAGGGGAGGAGGGCAGCGTCTGGGAGCGAGCGTGTGTTTTATTTCTGCGATGAACCCTTCATCCTGTACGCATGAAGCCGGGGCAGCGTGGCGCGAGCAGCGTCTCCGTGCCCGCCCCGTCATGCCATCTGTTACACTACGTAGGTCTTAGTCCCACTTTGTATGTTGTTGTAAAGCAAGAGGCATGGGGTCCAAGCCGGAGGTGACGTCTGTATATGAGAATTAATTGTACGGTATCATTCCAGTACATTCTGTTGTACATTTTAGTCTCGTTTCCTTTCTCTTCGTTGTTGATAAGAGGAATGTGAATTGTACAGTGCCCGGCTGGTTAGCCTTATTAGAGAAAAATTGAGTATTAGAAGAAACGAGGAGAGACGAGCTTTGTGAACTGCAGTTGTCGAAAAAAAAACAAAACAAAAAATCCCACAAAAAGCCTAGCTGGCCTTACTTGTGAAGCTTAATTGCTTTTAGCATATGGAAGTATTTTTTCACATTTTCTTTGTATAAAATTTGTATTAAACTTACCTTTTTTGATGATGGTGGTTTTTTTTTTTTTTTTTTTTTTTTCTTTTTTTTTGGTGGCTGAGCCAGTGGACTCAACACAACAAACCCTCTTGGGTTGTCTCACTTTCCCTCCAAAGTTTTTTTTTTTTTATTTCAGATTCTCCTTTTTGTTGTTGTTGTTTTGTTTTTTTTGTTTTGTTTTTTAAAGCTGTTTTGGCAAAAGCGGCTTGCTGCTCCTGGAAGCCACAGCTTGCTGTCTGGGTCCGCCGCCTGGTGGTCACACCGAGCACTGCATCTCCTGGGGGTTTATTCCCGCCCGGCCGTTTCCCAATCCTGTTTAATAGTGAACTGAGTACTAGGGGGCATGAGATGCAGGTGTGTTCTATGAGCTCAGCGACTCGTGTGGGCGAGGAAGGACCTGAGCCCAGGTTTCGCGGGTGCAGATTCGTTCGTGGCTGTCCGACGGAGCACCTGGGAAGACTTGAGGGTGCTAATGAGGGCCCCATTCCAGGAAGGGCGAGGGCAGCAGCGCTTGCTGGGATTCCTTGGGTGTGGGGCAGTCGGAGTGCAGTGCGGCGGAGCTGGCTGGAAGAGTGTCCAGGTAGGGGAGAGACCCTGGCACCCGTGCATGTGCTGGGAAGAGAAGGCAGGCATGGGGGCTGAGAGGGAGCAGGGCTGGGCTGCGGTGGACCCTTGGCACTGCACCGCGAGGGTGAGAGGCTGGACTCGATGCCGGCTGTTGGAGTCTTCCTGAGCGTTCTACTGTAGTTATCTGCCGGTGTGATTTGGGTGGGTGTTGTGGCCCGGATGCTTGAGCCTGGGTTTAGGTTCCGAGTTCACTGCTGAGCTGGCTCCTTACTAAGGCGCACCCTGAGAGGCAGCGGGGGGTGGCTCCAGGAGTAGGGTCCATGCCACACTCTGGGAGACCTGCAGGGGTTGCAGGCTTTGCCTCGGCCCTGCCCCCTGCCCTGGGCTGTTGCAGCCACCTGGGTGGGGAGTGCTCTAGCTGCTGGCCATTCACTTGTTTGCTATCACTCTTTCAAAAGGTCTAGTTTTTTGTTTTTAAATATTTATTTATCTGAAAGGCAAAGTAACAGTCCCCAAAATGGCTGCTTCGGAAGCCGGGAGCTTTTTCCGGATCTTCCCCCCGGATGCAGGGACCCAGGCACCTCGGCCATCTTTGGCTGCTTGGTTTCACAGGCTGTTAGCTGGGAGCTGGATAAAATGGAGCAGCTGGGACTTGAACTGGTGGATGCTTTGACCACGATACTGCAGCACCTGTTTCCAGCTAGTTCCCAAGGAATGGCTGTGAGGTATCGGGCTCTGCCTTTAGATTTCTGGCTTACGGTTTGAAAAGCAGCTGGGTCAGGTCTTGGATAATGAAACACAAGCGTTGGTAACGGCGTGCACCTGCCCCACGCTTGCCACTTGCTCCCTCTGAGGACTCCAGCACCCATCAGGGCTCCTCAGAGTCCTGCCCTGGCCGGCAGCCAGCCATCCGTTGCTTCAGCACGTGGGCCTCATCAGTGTTATATGCTGTGGCTTCTTGAATCCCGTGAACCGGGTCGGCCATGTTCCTCTGGGCATCCGTTGCAGCTGGGCTTTGCAGGTAGCCTGCCTTACTCTGCCCCAGGCCAGTGCTTTTGGTTTGCCCCATTTGCCCATTAGAAGTGGCTTGCCGAAGCTCACTCGGTGTGGCTGTGTCTGAGCCACAATTAAAACCAGGCTGCCCTACTTCCGAGGCACCCTGGGGAGTGTGTAGGTGACACTGCCCAGTCTTAAGCGGACCTCCACTGGGGGTGCTGGCGCCTGCTGACGGCCATGGAGGGGGTGAGTTGCTGCTGTGGGAGCAGGGGGGGGCGAGTTTGGGGAAGACTGGGTGCTAAACTGCGGAACCATAGAATTCACTGGGCTGCCTGCAGCGGGAAGGGGATGGACGCAGGTTACTGGGCTCTCTGGGCCAGGCTGAAACGGGCTGGGACTCTGTATGGCAGCTGCCACATCCATGCCAGGCTGTCCCCTTCTCTGGGGCGGCGGTTCCCTAGGCGTGCTGCTCCTACCTGGCCAGGTTGGAGTCTGTGCCAGTATCTTGTTGCTTTTGTTGCAGGTGCACTGGCCTTGGCTGAGCCAAGGCACTAGTGGGGTGTGCGCCCTTGAGCCGGCCCACCAACTGCGTGGCTGCACTGCCTCTCACCACAGGGCGTGGGGTGGGGGGCTTGTGGTGTGGACCCACAGGCTGAGACCTGTCCCCACAGAAGGGCCGGAGCCTGACGGTGTCACTGCAGATCTGTGTGAAGTTGCTCGCTTCCTGGAGCTGGGTCCACTGAGCCAGCCTAGCAGCAGGTGTGGGCAGGTATGGCCACATCCAGGGTTTCCTTGCTTACTGTAGGTCAGGGTCAGAGGTGGCCAGAAGGGGAGCTGGGCCAGATTCTGTTGCTGTCACAGGTTATTGCAGTTAATAGTGACTCCAGATGGCAGCGGCTTAACCCGCTTGCCTACCATGTCAGGCCCACAGATTGTATCAACCATCTGAGCGGTCGAGACAATTACAAAATCGGTGTAGTCAACGACACAAGCTGGGTGCAGGGGCAGGGGTTCTCAGCCCGGTGAAGGGCCAATGGCTCCTGCCTGCTGAGGACTCTGTCGCTGTCAGTACAGAAAGTCACCCAACTGCTAGAGTGATGCCTGTGTGTGGGCTTGGCCACAGCGTGGTTCCAGACCCATTGCAAGGCAGCCTATGTTATTGCTAAGGGATCCTGCAGGCTGCTGGTCTCCACCGCAGGGTTACACTGCCCCCTAATGGTCACAGTGAGCACAGCCTCAGGGGCACCAAGCTGGCATCAAGCAGGACACACAGCCTTGTGAGCAAAGAAGGTCCAGCCTTTTAAACTCCAAGTCCCTTGTGCCCAGAAAGAGCAACAGGTCCCTGCAACCACGTGATGTTCCTGCAACGCATTGCAGGTGACGGGAGCTGGGCACCCAAAAGTGCACCCTATAGTGGTCCGTATCTACGCAATCAGGCCAGTCAAGGCTGGCGAAGGGAATACAGATTTAAAGGGGCAAGAGCCATGAGGCAGCGAGCCTTTTGGGGGTTCTTAAGTGTCCACTGTGATCGGTGAAGCTACAGAAAGCTGCTTCAAGATGCTTACTGGAGGAGCTGGCTTGGTGGCACAGCGTGCTAAGCCACTGCCTGCCATGCGGGTGTCCTGCTGGCTGCTCCACTTCTGATCCAGCTCCCTGGGAAAGCAGCCGAGGATGGCAGGAGTGCTTGGGCCCCTGCACCCACATGGGATCCCGGATGGAGGCCCTAGCACTTGGCTTTTTTCCGGCCCAGCCGTGGCCTTTGGAGCTGTCTAGGGAAGTCAACCAGCTGATGGAAGAGCTCTCTAGCAATGCCTTTCACATCTTTTTAATTTATTTAATTTTTTTAAATTAAAAAGGCAGATTTATGGAGATGGATCCACTGGTTTACTCCCCAAATGGCCACAATGGTGGAGTTTAGCCTATCCAAAGCCAGCAGCTTCTTCCAGGTTTCCCACACAGTGCAGGGTCCCCAGGCTTTGGCCTGTCCTCAATTGCTTTCCCAGGCTACAAGCAGGGAGCTGGATGGGAAATGGAGAAACCGGACATGAACCGGTGCCCATATGGGATCCTGGCCCTTACACGGGGAGGATTAGCCAGTTGAGCCATTGTGTTGGGCCCTTTTCAAATCTTTTGTTTAAAAAAGCTGCATAATTTGCACAATAAATGTTATATTGATTGTAAAATTTCAGAAACAATGAACAAACCCCAGGCCACCTCTGTCAGGCTGGGTTTGGGAATGTCCACCAGACCAGTTCCGCCTAACTCTCCTTGCCCTGGTCGTCTCCCTGGATTTAGAATAAAACTCCCATCCAAGAGGTACAGGGGCCGGACACGGCTGGCGTGGCCCGGCCTTGGGCTCACGTGTTGCCTGCGTCACCCCAGGGCGGCCTTCCCCACCTGTCCATGTCCTGGTCACCTGCTTGGTGCTGACCAGTGTGCCCGCAGGGTCTCCTGGGGCATCTGGCCACTTCTTTCCAGATTCTCTAAACAGTGGAAACTCCCCAGGGGAAGGAAGTGGATTGCACTGTGCTCCCTGGCTGGAAGCTTGGCAAGCTGAGGCTGCCTTGATGGCTCTGATTGTGTCCCTGGCAGGACTGCAGGAACCTGCTAGAGACAACGTCTCAGGACCCTTCCGGGGGTCTCCCCAAGTTGGCTGATGGTGACCTCCTTTCGCCAGGATGGCTGGGACCACCATGGGAGGCCTGCCAGGAAGTGTGGGCCTCTCGGTGACCCGTCGTGCTTTCTGCAGCAGTTCTGATTCTGTAGATCTCCTGTTGGCAGCTGCTGGTTCAGATGTATCTCTCTGAAGTCTCCTTATGCAACTAAGATCAACTGCTTTTTGGTTCATCTTCATCTTTAGTTACCTAAAATGCGTTCTCTTTATATAAATAAAAATTGTATTTTGTATATACAGTTTTCAAAAATTTAGCACAATCTTTTTATCTATTTACTTTTATTGAGAAGTCTGATATACAGAGAGGAGGAGGAGAGACAGAGAGGAAGATCTTCCGTCCGATGATTCACTCCCCAAGTGGATGCAGTGGCTGAAGCTGAGCTGATCTGAATCCAGGAGCCAGGAACCTCTTCTGGATCGCCCACATGAGTGTAGGATGCCAAGGCTTTGGACCTTCCTCCACTGCTTTTCCATACCACAAGTAGGGAGTTGGATGGGAAGTGG